GACCATCTTCGTTACTATAATAAAAACCACTGACTATGATGGTCATCCATAGGGAAACATTCATTCAGGCTGAAGCAAATGAGGAAGAGGTGAGATGCTTGAAAAAAAAATATGGTACCAGTCTTGGGCAGGACAAATGTAAATTAGCCCAGATACAGACATATGCAGCTGTAAGGAGGTAGAGAGCACCAAACTGGAAGAGCAGATCTGTTACGGTAATCTTCTAACTAGTTTCTGAGCATCCAACGACATCCATCAACAGTCATGATCCTTCCAAATCCAGCATGCTTCTCCTCTGCCCAGTGCCTTCTGGTTTCTCTCAGACAGAGAGCCAAAGTTCTCAACAAGCTTGTTAATACTAAAGGCAAGTTAAGTGGTCCCCTACTACCTAAGTTTCAAAAACACTCTCCCACTGGCCCACCCGTTCCAGCTACACTGACCACATCATTTTGGTCCTCTAACTTGACAAGCACCAAGCTACTAGAGACTCTGGAAGGCTCTTCCTGCTAAATGTAGTAGGTGGCTCTCCCTTTTTGTCTTTGCTCCACTGTTACTCATCTGTGATGACCTCTGTGACCCCCTCCCCATATGATCTGATTTAGGTTAGAGACAAAAAGGTATGAATTCTTTCTCATGGGGGTTGTCAAATGCCTGGAGATCAGGAGATTATGGACAACAAAACATCAAGCAGATAGCTAATTTAACAGGAAGGCAGGCAGGGACTAATTCCCAGGCAGTGATCGGAGATGATGGCAGGATCGGACTCCTCAGAATTGGAGTGGTTGTGCTGTCTGAAGGCCCCTGCCCTCACAGGAGCGAAGTTGTATCCCCAAGGCGACAGCAGAAAGATGAAACATGAAAGACCCTCCGACACACTTTGAATTCACCTCGGAGCAGGCTTATGATGAAAAGGATCTTAACTTGAATTTTGAATGCCATATTCTCCAGATCTTAGTGCCCCCCCTTCAATGTCTTCACCCTCTAGCTATTCATTAAGATATGCCCAACGGCTGGTGATTTGAAAAGCAGTCTTATTTAAAACAAAACAACAAAAAAACCTCTTCACATACTTCATCTTCACGAAGGTATCTCGATGACCACGGACGCCAGCAAGCAGCTTCTCATTTTTATAAAGCAAAGGGATGGAGTACTGACAGACTGCATCAGCACAGATGGAACCAAGACGGCAGTCAAAAAGGACTGCCATTTACTTAAACTCGTATCGAAAGAATCTAATGTGCAACAGTGTCACTTCCCTTGGAGAAATATTGAAGCAGTAAGAATTTCAACAAGGAAAATACCATTGAAGCACACAATAACTCAGGGAGGATGAGGGGTGGATGGGATCAAATAGAGTTGGGAGATTTTCAGAGTACGTAAGACAGGGCAACAGAAGCGTGAACAGCGTGAAAGCAGAGCAGAGCCTTCTAGACTGTAGGTCTAGTTTCTCTGCCAACAAACCACCCCAAGTTTATGAACTTCAGAGAAAAGTGCGTTTATCTCATTAATGTGACAGATTTCACCCCACATTAGTGTGAGTGGTGGCCTGTGAAGGCTCTCTATGAAACTTATAGAACACCTACCTTAAAAATCCTAACCTGAGTATGGTGTGAACACCATTGTCTTGTCTTCCCTGACCCTTTAGCTAGGGACAGCCTGTGAGGAAAGTCTAGGTTACTTACATCCTAAGCAGTGACTCCCTGCCTCAGCCTTTGAGTCTTGTCTAGGGAGGGATCTTGGGAGCATCAGTGAAGGCAGCTGAAGACTGAAGCATAGTTTCCCTGATACTGATTCTGGCTGGGGTTCTCTAAAGTTGTCTCTAGTGTGAATCCTAGTTCTACCACATGATCCAAAGCACGAGATCGAAACTTCCCAAGCCTCAGTTTTTCTATGTGTACAATGAGAATTCACAGGGTTATCATTTCCATAACCCACACAAAATGCTTGGCATATTGGAATGCTGCATTTTTACTAACTTATGAGTCAATAACTATTGGTAATATGGAAGCATGACCTTTAAGCCTTGATGTCAACAAGCAGCTTTGTCCTAAGCTGACCCCAAACCCAGATGTGCACGTTAATGACTTAAGTAGTATTCACAGGGCAGTGCCGTAAAGGAAACTGTGCCAGGCACCGACACTGTGTAAACACACATTAGCTTTACGCCCCCATTCCGGAGCCATTAATGTTCTGTTCGATAATGACCATTTGAACTTAGAGAAAACAGATTAAACCAGCCTGCGTGCACAATATTTGATTATAAGTTTTTTATACAAATATGGAAAATGGAAAATAAGTAATTCTCATTGTAAAAGCATATAGTAAACAGACTGAGAGCTTACAGGGAAAAGCTGCTAATCTGTTGAAAAATAAATGATTTGGATGAAGGTAATTTCCTTGTTGACTCTGGATGGGTGCAGTCTACCTGCACAAACAGACTTATCCATGCGTAAGAATGGAAAGAGGCGAAGGTTGCTATGCAGTCGGGGCAGAAGAGCTCTAAAGCATCCCAGCTTGCAGAGACAAACAGCTATACGAAACTGAGTTCCTGCCGGCTGCTGGCAGAGGCAGGTGGATCTCGCCAGCCTGGTCTAAGGTGTGAGTTCCAGGACAGCTAGGACTACACAGAGAAAACCTGTCTTGAAAAAGAAAGAAAGAAATAGGAAGGAAGGAAGGAGGGAGGGAGGGAGGGAAGGAAGGGAAAGAAAGAAACCCGAGTTCTCTGAAGCTTTGGGGGAAAATACTAAGAAATGAAGGCTAAAGAAACTCCCCTTTCACTTTATAAATAGAACGTAATTAAATACTTAGTTCTGACGCTTCCCAATCTGAGAAGATGGAAAATATCTTTCATGTTGTGTATTACTTATATTTAATGATTTAATAATCTCTATCAAAATACAGCATCCATAATTACTTCACTAGTTCACCATTTGCCTGTGAACTTATGGTAATAACTTATATAAAAATCATTTCGTACAAATTTCACTGTTATGAATTTTTCATCACAGAGTTAAGGTAGCTTATTGAAAAGCCAGGACTGTTTAATGAGCTTTCTTAATAATACGGAACACAAATTTGTTCTAAACCAAAACAATGTCCTCCCTGGACTGCAGAGATGATGCTGCATTGAACGCTGACACTGTGGGCAGGAGTGAGGGCACTGTACACATTTTACTTCCAGAGGCGATACCACGTACACGAGAACACTGAGTCACTGCATCGGTCGTTAACATTCCAAGTATATTGTAGAATTTTCACTATGTAGATTAAAAAAAAATCTCAAGTAGAAAAAAAGGAGTGCCAAAATATGATGTTCAAATCATTCCATTATTCAAAAAGTTCAGTCCCCATTCAGAAACAGATAAACAGTATATTTATTAAATGAGTTAAGACAAATAAACTTTACAAATAGACAAATAATAAAAGGCTCAGTGGCTAAAAGAGATGGTAAGCATCATCAAAGGAAATCAACACCATCATGGTAGTATCTCAGTTGGCTTACACGTGGAAATGAAATTTTCAAAGAGCAATTTCACAGAAAGGAAGCCAGGTTTTTTTTTTCTTATAAACAAATCACCATTTCTCGGTTCAAAACTGATATCTGTTATGAAAATGACCATATCACATATTTTGTAAGATGACAAGGAGTAACTCGGCTTCAAAGTGCGGCAAGTCTATCTATTTACAACCACAAAAACGGCAATGATGAGGAGAAAAGGATTTTTAAAAAATATACAAAGATTAAAAACATTTGGGATGCAAAATTAAACAAGTTCTTTTTCTCTTCTGTTAGAGGATAAAAGATAAAATGTGAATTACAGATGTTGATTTTGCTATACACTCTATATAATGGGATCCAAGATCTTTAACAGCTTGCTTGTATTTCTTTTTCTTTACTTACATAATGTTCTGGAAATTTCTGGTAGAAATTACAGTGTCTCAATGTCTTGCTATTACTTCATGTATGCCCTAAGTAAGACCCGTTTATGGACTGGAGGTGGTGTAAAAAGCCATTGCCTTGAGTTGAAAAATGAAGACCGGAAAAGCTTGACACAAACCCTCCAAAGCACATGCATGTCTGGATCGTTTGGTAATTACATTCCTAGTTAAGCATAACCAAAATAAAAAAGAAAACTGAAAACATTTCCCTTTTCTCTATTCCCTATGCCTTGCAGGCTTCTTCAGTGGATAGGGTCAATTTTTAGAGTTGAAAGGGTTCTTCAAGAGGAGTCTAGTCCCCCACCCTCTTTCAGGGTGAGTAATTCCCCAAGATCATGCAGCACATTAATGGCAAAATCAAGACTAGGAGGCCATTCTGGACTCCTGGTCTAAATATGCTTCCCAGCATATATCATGCTACCTCTTTTTACAGTATGAATAACTACAACACCTGATGAATAAATGTACAATGATAAATGCGACAGAGCCAATGTTTCTAAGACTTGCAGAGGATTACTGCAGGCAACTGATGGAGAGAAAAGATTCCTCCCACCCACCAAAAAAAAAAAAAAAATCAAGCACCGTCAACCATGTTTCTCTGCTGGGTCAGCATTCTTGGATGTAGTAGTCCTCGTAAACTTTATCAGCCTGAGGATTGTTTATCTGGTGAAATCTGCGCCCTGAAACAATACCAGTTTCTAAAGGGTGAAGACAAGGGGCAAACAAAGGAAGAAGGTAGACAGGGAAGAAGCAGAGAGCCCAGAAATTCAGTTGATCAGGGATGGGCATTTCAACACATGGTTAATCATCAATCTACAACTATCATGTTTAGAAGCTTACCCCATGTTTTCATGTATTATCTCCTTTTATCTCATCTGTTATTTGGCCACTTAATAAACACAAATGTATCAGAGACAATGGTGGTCATTACTCTTTATAAAATGGTGATACTATTTTAGATAAAACTAAGTTCTATGAAGAATATGTTAGGTTGCAAACTGCGCTGTCTCACCCTGACTCGATGAGGTGACCAGTAAAGAATTCAAACAGAACTTCGTGGGGCTGTTGCCAGCTTGAAATTTATTCCAATTGTGGTGAAAGGGAACAGACCGGTGCATCACCTATGCAGAACTAAGGATAGGAGCTGAGCTGTCTTAAAACCATCGCTGTGTATTTAGTTAATAAAAGGGCATATTTGTTTATGTTTACAAACAAGTTTCAAAAACAAAAAGGAAAACATGTATGCTTCTACCTATTAACCTTTTTCAAAATGCCAACAGCCCTCTATGCTGTATGCAGGTCTCTAAGGAGTTATTAGAAAAATCAATATAGTTCACTCACAGTTCACCAAGACATCACTGAACTAACATATTTAGACAAAAATAAAAAGGACTAAAGGTTCTCTTGTAGTTTTATAGTTTAATTTGATTTGCCTGAAATAACAAAAGCATTTCAAGCATCTTTCATTGTGTATTTGATGTCCTGCAATAAACAATCTACTAAATTCTGAACAAAAGGTTATTAGCAAGTTTTCAAAAAATTTAAAAATTAAACAGTTCTTTCAAAACCATTAAGTAGTAAATGTATTTAAGAAACTAATTAGGACAGATGCCATAACTTCATTAGAACACCACTGCTCATGTTTTTTTTTGTTTTTTGTCTTGTTTTGTTTTCTTTTTTTGTTTTTTGTTTTTTAAACAAAGCATTAGTGTTATCTATTTGGCTATTAGTATTAGCAATTTATCTACAATATTTAACAAGATAAATTGTAGGCAAAAATTTAGTACAGTTTCAATAGAAACACCCCTTTTTTATTTCCTGAAAATACAGCAGTATTTGAAGGACTAATTTTTCTCTGCATTAGTTATAAGGAAGCTTCCCATCTATGAAGAACAAAAAAAGTATCTACAAACCTTGTAAACAGATCTGTATCATTTATAAACATAAATAATCCAAATTATTAACAGCCAACAGCAGAAATTAAAGTATTCATTCAATGATCCAGGGCTCTCTGTCTCGTCCAGCTTCACTCCTCCCTCTCTCCCATCAAGGACACTGAGATAAACCACAGCTCTGCTAATACACCGTCAGGACCATTCTGGGTACCAATGATGATCCACAGGTCACTTATGCCGTTGTTTATCTGTCAGTTCATTTCTCCCACCCCCCAAAAAGCACCCTCAGTCCGGCAGAAAGCTTTGCTTTTTTTTTTTAAAAAAATAAATCTACATTCGTACAAGTGTGTCTTCTGTTGAAGTCCAAAGACAAGACTACTATCTTGTCCGTCACAATATGTGAAAAGACTCAGTTTCAATTTGTTTCTTTACAATGCAGCTAGTGTGTTAACATTCAGCTTACAATCAGAGTGACGTTTCCAAACTATGTAGTGGGCTTCCTGGGGATGAAGAGGTAGCAGACTTGTTCATTTCTATTGTAAGGTGAATTCCGCTGTCAACAGCATTGTTATTTTTGTTAGGAGAGGGTGGAGGGCTGGAGTTGCGTTTTGTAGGAGCATCATCTTCAGCATCAGTGTCATCAATAAGGGGGATGTGAGGCTCTGAATCTTCTATCCTAAACTCAGGGTGTGTCATAAAGTTGTGGATTGAACTTCTTGATTCTGGCTTTTCTAACCCTTCATATAAAGAACTACGAAATGCATTCACCACTCGAATCTGTGAACAGCAGAAAACACAGAAAAGATGTCAGAACACCAGTGGCTTTACTACAGCAATGGTTCACTTATGAGTTTGAATCCACAAACAGCTAGGTATGAGTGAATCATATTTGCATGTAATGCAGTGGAACTTGCAATACACTGTAAAAAAATGAATATTTTAGTAGGACACTACAGAACAACAAAACCACATACTCTAAAAGGTATACATTCAAAGGAAAACTAACAAAATCTTAATTGTCACTGGCTAAAAATTTAATAGCCATTGTGTAGGATGTTTTTTCCCTAAGACGACAAAAACAAAAAAACAAAATGAGAACTTAGCCATACACAAGCTTAGTTGAAATATCTTTAAATCAAAAAGAACGTATTTCTCAAAACAACTCAAATAAGCTAAACAAAGTCAAGCACAAAGGGTTACTATTTATCATGCTAGGAATCAGGGTGTCACCAACTATGAAAAAGCCAAGCAAATATAAGCTGAATGCCACAATGAACTCACACCTGCCCCACTACTTCTTTAATTAAAAGTTAAGAAAAAAGACAAACCCACATATGTATCTATAAAATGCTACTATAAACAGCTATAAATATTCGAGTATATGCCATTTTTTTCTACATAAGTGTTAGTGGATTTCTGTATGAGAGATTATATCTTGATCACTAGAGTTTGCTAGAAAGAACAGATTACAAACACACACACACACACACACACACACACACACACACACACACTCCATCTCTGGGACTCTGAAAAATTCTCCAAGGGAGAGACATAAAGTTCCAAAGTTTTCTATTAACTATTTAGACTCATGAACTAGCAATTCACCTTTCTTTTTGGGTGTCTGCTGTATACAAGGAACTAGGTTAAAGGACATTGTAGTGCTGACAATTCGGTTCAACAAACAAGTGTCATTCAGAAATTTTTTTAGAGATAAAAATCTGTTCAGTTGAGCACTTATATTAGTTAAAATATATTTTGATTTTGATAACATAAAAATGTTCACTTTTGTGTCAATTCTAGTAATTTTAAGAATGAAGTTACCATTTACTAATAAAGTTAAAAGAAGTTAAGTGACACCAACATTCGAGAAGAAAACAGCCATCACTAAAATTATCTCAACAGTAAAATAATTATTAAGGCATATTATTGTATATTTTAAAAGTGTATGTTTAGGGTCATATGTTCCTTAAGTGACCCTATCCTTCCTCCTGTTTGTCTCTCCGGACTTAGTAACCCCATCTGTAAGCTGTGTTAGTAGTCTAAATGAGCAGTTCTCAACCTTTGGGCTGCAACATCTTTGGAGGTGGGGGGCAGTGTTGCATATAAGATACTCTGCATATCAGATATTTACATCACAATTCATAACAGTAGCAAAATTGCAGTTATAAAGTAGAAATAAAAAGTAATTTTATGGTTGGGGGATCACCACAATATGAGGAACTGTATTAAAGGGTAACAACATTAGGAAGGTTGAGAACCACTGATCTAAATTAACTTGGGCCTTTACACAGAAAATAAAGAGATAAAAATGAGTTTTAGTTTTCCACTGACTAGATGATGAGGAACTGTAATCAAATGGAATTCTCAACAGTGTGGTCCCTACACCTCACGGGGCTGTTGCGCTATTAGCATATACACTATCACCCAGGACGCGCAGACACTAACGTGCACAAACTGGGGATCCTGGGAAAAGACAGATCCCAGACAGTCTATGTTTCCAACAACTTTGAAGCCTGATGCTGAGAAGCCGGGCCATGCCAACACATGGAACCAAGTGTGTCCTGCCCATACCATCATGTGACTTTATTATGCTACTTTATAATTCTGCTTTATTCATGCACTTCTCTTTCAATTTGACAGGCCAAAATTTTGTTTGTAGCAGAAGAATAGTATCTATGATGCATTTTTCAGCTGAACTGATGTACATACAAACGGGAAAAGCCCAAGAAATCAATCAATATAAACAGCATAGCTTATTCAAGGGCCCCTTCTTATAAAAACACACAGAACAGGCAGACAAAGCTCAAGTCAGGAAAGCAAGCAACTGGCTGTTTACACGAACTTCATTTCATGCTACTAAGTTACCTTCTCAACAGAACAATATCAAAGCTGAAATGCCAAATTCATTCTTTAGCGTTATAAATGTAATTTTCCAGTTCTCTTAGCTCAGTCTCAAATCACATGCTTCTGGGAACCATGCAGTATGCATATACTTAAAGGCATATACTCAAAAATTTATAGTAGTTTCGTAAGTGCTTATCTACAATTTTTATTTCCCATCTGAATTATAAGTTAGCACAGAGACAAGCTCCCAGATTTCAGGTCTAATCTTTGGCTGTAATTGTTCCGCCTCTTATCCAACCCTCTAAGAAACCAAACAACAACAATGGCAACACTTGAGGTCTCAATCCACTTTACGAAAAGAAAGCTTTATGAAAAGCCTGAACAATGAATTTAAACATTAAGGAGAAAATGAGAAACGTTAGGTGTGTGAAGTAGGAAATGTTAATTTCATGCACTTAGGAACACACACTCACACCCCACAGTAGTAGAAGCAGTAGAAGAGGAAAACACTACATGTGTAGGGGTAGAAATATTTGTTACATCATGATGCTGGCTGGCGATGGAGGGTTGTCGCCTTAGAGCCCCCTGAATGGAAGTTCCACTCTGGAAAGCATTCACTACATCCATCTGCAAGGAATCAGAGATTGTGACAGCGTGCTCAGCAAGAGAGAGAGAACAAGAGAAAGGACCGTTCCATCTACCAACATTTAAAATGTAAAGAAAAAGGCACTTTTACAGAGCAGATAAATAGGCAAGAGTAGCATTTTGAGATGAAAGGGGAAAATAAAAGCTAGGGAAAAAAAGCTTGGGGCATATAAGAGACATTCTTTCATAATCAGTTAAAGTTTCGCTCAGTTCAGCCATCAGTAGTATTTTTCAAAAGAATAAATTGTGTAGGTTGGGAAGGCTAGAAAGGCAGTTACAAAGCACAGGTGGTCTGGACTGCTCCCCAGATAAAAATCATTACTCCCTTCTGCTTTCCTACCTCTCTACCAGACCCATACCTGTGTTTGGATTCTGTTCAGACCTCTAAACCACAAGATCTGGCCACGCCGTAATTCCCTTTCGGCATGATCAATCTCTTCAACATCCTCTGCTAATTCCTCCTCGGGTATTTCTTCCTTTTGTGTTCCATGACCAGCTTCTTTTAGGAATTTTAAACGGCTAGTTGGAATTGTTGAAATAAGCTATAACACAGGGGAAAGAACTCAAGGTATTAAAAACTGCAGGAGTATCCACTTTCTTTTTTTTTTTTTTTTAACCAATGAAGCAATGTCTTGCTGGTGACTTTCTCAGAACAAAAATTATTCAGTTATAAAAAAGGCAAGTTTACAAAACAAAATGTTTTCTGAATAGAAGTGAAGATGGTATTTCTCATATTTTAATGTAGACGTTCATGATGCTAAATTGTACAACCATGTTTTACTGTGTCTACATGTATACAGTCTCCACCTGAACGCATATTAATTACATTTACTTCAAATAAGATGACATGGCATGTGGTCTTACTGGGTACAAACCAAGCTTGTAATCCATTATTACTATAATAATTCACAAGTAAAAGAATATGAGAATTCAGAAAATCCTTAAGGTCATAAAAACAGTTAACTATTTTTATAAAATTTAGCTATCTAAATTGAGTCAACACTGATTGGTAACAGCAATACATAGCAATAAATGCCTCCAGAAACAAGAACACTATCAGAAACATCAACAGTACAGATTAGCATTTGAGTGTTAACAGGTAATACCTATGAAGTAGAGTTTACCAAGGGGAAAGCAAGCTGCCTTCAGACCAGAATAGCCCGGAGAACTTCTACTCCTGCCATCTACGTTCACAGGGGTAAAACAGGATCAGCTTTGTGAAGTGATTTGCACATGAAATGGTTAAGATTCCAGGTCTCTGAGGCACTAAGTCAGGGTTTATTTTATTTTTAGAATCACACACTTAAAATGAACAGACAAAATCAACGTAAGTCTGCTGCTGCTGGCTGTGTGTGTGCAGCACTGAGATTTTCTTCTTGAAATTAGGCAGATTTTTTAGGTTGTAGACTTGTGCTCTGCCTATCAGAGAACACTGAAATAATCAGAAAGAAATGTGGACCAACAAGGATCACCAAGAAAGAGTTTTAAGGTAACAAAAGCAACTTAGAACCCAGAAGAACACAACTAAGAAAAAAGATAAAACCTGAGTTTGGCTGGATCTGCAGAACGACAGTGAATGAGCTCACACACGTCATACACGGGAACACACCACCCTGTGTTCGCAGACATGCCAGCACTGACTCTCCAGCAGCTGGTCTGACACTAGTGACAACAGCCTGAAGGTGAGCATCACTCATCTTTAAGAGAAGAAGTGTGCAACTAACTGCAAGAAAAACGGCGATCAGTACAGTTGAGGTGGATCATGCTTTTCTGGCATCTTAATTTACAGACAACTGTTAAAGACGATTCCAAGGCCTTAAAAAAACCATTTTGTGGCTCTGTTTTTCAGACACCCGTGATTTTAAGAAACTGTTTACTATGTAAGACTTAAAATTTCTCTCAGGCTTTTAAAAATATTAAATTCTATACCAAAGTAATGAAGTATGTTTATTCTGAAAATACATAATCAGGTGGAAAAGACCCAGGCATTACCATCCTACCCAGTCATCTATGTGCCGTGTCTGCAACTGCCAACAACTTGCTCTAAAACATAGAAACGAGTGAAAGACCAATGAGCACAAGAACCACTTCAGAACAGCTACTGAGGAAAGGGACAAATCCCATGTAATTCACAATTCCCTTCTGTGACTCAAGTGGTAACTAGAATAAGTAATAGAAATAGCTGAAAGATTAAAAAAGAATTAATTTAGGTTTTAACAAAAACAGTGAGATTTTTACCTGGCCCCAGAGTAAGGTCCCCATTCCCAGGAATATTGACCACAGCCACTGTTCTATTGAAAGTTCTGAGCAGCTGAATGGTTTCCCACCAAACTGCACAATTATTATCTGGAGAAATAATCAAAAGTAAATTCATTTAAATGACAACTAAAACAAAATCTCTGCTCCCAAATTTAAATATATATATATATTATATTTATTAAAATCACATGACCAAAAGAATACCTGTATGTTCTTTCCTATAATCTCAAATAACTACATTTTTTGGTATGCTTTCATGAAAGGTAGTATGTTTTGTGGGAAGTACCACATGTCACAGTGACATATATGGACAGAATATGCCACCTTGTTTTTCTCTTCTACACAGCAGCCACTCCTCGTTGACATCTGGATGTTAAGACAACTATGTATGTATGCTCTGTAATAGAAGAAAAGCAACCTGGCAAGGCTATGAAGTGTGCACTATCTCTCTGGTCTGTTCAACAGGGAGAGGGAAGTCCAATGGCATCCGTACATAAAGTTCACACTACGGTGCTCGCAATCCCTTCCTGACCTGCAGTGTCCTACAACAGTACACCTGGGAGTAGTGCGTCAACAAAACATTCACTTTTGTCTGAGTCTGACAACTCTCTCTGATATAAGGGAAGTAGCTGTGAAATACTGAAATTAAAAGAAATTTTGGTGCGTAATAGTTGTTACATTTTTATACTTTAAGAAGCATTATAAATTTCATGCTTTGCATTTATTTGTTAATTTCGTTGCTTTTTAATGTCAAGAATGTTTGTCTATTTTTCCAGATAGAGTCATCACTGATTTGCTAGGATGCTAGCATTATAACTGATATTATATATATTGGTTATATCATAAACCATATTGGAGCTATTTCATAATCAGGTCTGGATTTTCATAAAGAAATGAACTGAAATAGTTTTTCTTTTGTAAACCAAGAAAACAGGGAATAGAAAAATGTTCAATGTTTCTAGCTTTGTTTTTTTTTAATTGAAAGACTTTTTTGGTGTAATGAGGTGTGAAAGGAAGGCATTAAAAGTACTAGGGAAAACCAATAATTATGTGACTGGCTGATTTGGTCTCATTAAAAGTAATTCTTTACTTTATATTCGAAAGTAATGAAGGTGTCTGTGAAGGCAGCTGTGGGAGTGACTTCTGAGAAGGTTGGGTCAAGCTGCCATAGTCTCCAGACCATACACTAAATCAACATGAAGCTGGGCAGACATCAGTCATTACATGGAAGCTCCCTCCCAGCTTGGGCTATCTGCTAAGTAGGGATATGTCTCATATAGCCTAAACTATCTTTTCTACTTACTCACCTGTACCACAAAGGTGCCTAAAACAATCGTGCAGAAGATGGCGTTATTAAAGATTCCTTCAAACACATTTCTTTCACCATGAATTTTCCGTGCATTTATTTCATTGAAAAGCTGCATCAGCACAAAGGTATTGAACACAATAGTGTAATGTTCCGAGGGGGGAGCGTGCAGAGGGGCATTCCTTCCACTGTCAATATCAAAAAACTTCTCTCCTGAAATGAAACGTCACCATTTTGTAATTATCACTGAAATAACACAATGTGTTTCATGAAGTGCATGATAACAAAGCTTGGCCAGCCTTGGTCTGGACTGGATTATCTGGTGCTGTTTTTGTTCTACAGATAAGGAAAGGGAAACCCCCGGCACCATGGAGACATGTCAAGATCACACATCTAAGAGTGGTGGAGCCTGGATAAAAGTCAAGACTCTCTACTTCCCCACCAACCTCATCAACCTCCCCAGACGGAGTGGGCACCAAGAAAAGCAAGTAAAAACTTAACATAAAATCAGGAATAGAATTGATGTTTGTGAAAATTCTGCCACACTAAGGCATGCTGAGTGATAGTAATATGCAACAGAAACAGCTGAACTGAACTCTTACCAGCAAATAAGAGTGTAAAAACCACCACGAGCTGATAAAATGCATGACCCAAAATATTCTTCATCATTGTCCGTGAGATGAGAGGCTTATTTCTGCCATAAGGCTTCCGGAGCAGGAGTGACTCAGTGGGTGGTTCCGTTGCCAGGGCCAGGGAAGCCAGTGTGTCCATGATGAGGTTGACCCACAGCATCTGCACCGCCTTAAGAGGTGAGTCCTAGAAAAGACAGGCTTCCTAATAGACATTCACAACTGTTGAGGAAGGCAGCGACTTTCAGGAAGCCTTTAGGATTACAAAGACTTAAGGAACAAAACAGATTACATTTTATGTTAATTAACCTACAATATAAAGCTTCATCTTATTTAAATACTTAAAGACTTTAAAAGGGTAGATCATATAATTTTTGCGTTAAAATAAATATTAACAGTCACCTACTTGAGTAATACAAGCGCCCGTGAAAGCAACAATCACTGCTACTACATTAACAGTAAGCTGGAACTGAAGGAATTTTGAGATGCTGTCATAGACATTTCGTCCCCACATAACTGCTTTAACAATGCTTGTAAAGTTGTCATCTGTGAGAATAATATCAGATGCTTCTTTAGCCACATCAGTTCCAGCAATGCCCTGTTAAAAAAGTCTGTGAATTAGACTAAATGTTTAAAATATAATTTGTACATATGCAAATGTGCACCATTATACTTAATAAAAAATAATTACATTTATGCTAAAAGACGATAATACTGTAATCTTAGGATGCCACTGACAAAGACATCCGGGCTTAGTCGACACCATACATAAAGAATGAAGCATGAAAAGCAAAATGCAAGTAGTGTTGCAAACAAAGGGACGTCTCTTCCCAAGTCATACAGAAGGTGTATTAAACACACTAACAGAAAAGACAGGACTTGAACTTGGGAGGGAGGCATGCTGGAGGAATTAGAGAAGCAGGAAGGGTGGATATGATTATACACCGTACATATGTATCAATTCTCAAATTTAAAACATTAAAAAATTTTTGAGAATATTAAAAGTGATTAAACGTGAAAGAAAGAACTGTTTGAAAGAAAACTATAGGAACTGGAAGTAGATGATGAATGGCGAACAGCTCAGGAGACTGAGGAATTTGCTTAAGCCAGCAGCAGGGAGCAAGGAAAGCAGGGAAGACTTTTCTCCCCATTATAAAGTTCCTATGAGGCTCAGGCCCTGTAGCTTCAGGGAACATTTAGAAACAGACATGAAATGAGAGGCGCTCTTGAAGACCTGAAGACACTGAAGAAGCAATGAGAAGCCTCAGACTAGCAACACTGTCAGCAGTAGAATGGGCAGATGAACAGACTGTGGGTTAATAAAAACAAGTTAATTGTACCTACAAACATCATAGATAATCTTCGGAACAAAAGATGGACGCAATACATGTGATTTTGTATAAAGTTTAAAACAGGCAGAAGCAATGAGCTCCAGGAGTCACAGGTAATATCTATCTCTTGTACTGTCCAGGACAAGGTAAGCAGATCCTCAGAGCTCTCTCAAATTCATACATCCAGGCAAGCTGTCACTTCCACTCCAATGCCAGGTTACAGCAGGTCAAGAGGTGGGGCAGAGGGATTGCTATGGTAAAACTGACCACCAACTGACTCTGAGTCACTGCAAAGGGACTCTGGGAATGAGTGTGTGCCAAGTATGTTAAAACATGGAAAACATTAAGTGAATAACAAAAAAGGAGTTCATGTGGCTCAGGATGGACCAGCACTGACAGTCACAACAAAGACTGGGCTAATCTAAGTGATGACGGGGTACTACGGAGGAGTGGTGGGCAGGGGGAACGTGAATGCACATGGAGCAAATGCGGTGCTGTGCCTGTGCACCTGCTGTCTGCTAAGTGTGGAGCCCTCACCTTCCTTGAGGAAAAGCCAGGAGTCAATGCTTTGTATGCTGACTAAGTTCCGGAATCAAATGGTTCATATATGTGGGGGAAAAGAGCTAAAATAGTCGTTTCCTTTTGGAGTCAGAAACTAAGGTGAAAGAAATGGCACATGGTAGGAGCATTTGATACCAAACTTTTTTAAAAAGGGGAAATGGAGCTGTACTCAAAATATTCAATTATAAGCAAGTATGATTTAAATTTTTAGTCCCCGAACTAAACTCCAGCCATTCTTAGAGGCTGCAAATGCAAATCTCTTTCTTTGTTTAAATTCTTAGGAACTTAAGAGACAGCTTAAAAGGGAAGTGGGTATTCAAAGAAAACTTAATTCTACAGACAAATACGTTTGGGAACTTGGGATCAAAATAGACATCAGCTTTTAGTGAGTTCCTCAGTGTGACTACCTGCACACACGTATCTAAACTGACTCGTACTTTATCAGATATCAAGTTTTAGCAAAAATGGTTACATGACCAAATCATCCAAGGACTTACTCCTTCTCTTTACTTTTGAAGCAAATTTAAGTTGTGTAAACCCCACTACCAACATATCCTGTGTACTGTATTTTTTTCGTATTGGTTAAGTTTTGCTAACTTGAACACCTGTCTTATACCCAGGTTTTGAGGAAAAAGATCATATGTTCTATGAAACTAGTTTTGCCATCCTAGTTAGCTGTCAGGGTCACAGTAGGTACAACAACTGGTGATCGTAACGCTCCTGAATTGGAATGATGCTGTGTGCTTAAGAGCACAAGGCAGAGTCCGTAAGCACTGCTTAGCCCACAACTGGAACTTATCACAAGTTTTCAACATTTCATGTCAATCCATCTGTCTAGATATAGGGTAGGGTGAGAGTCCTTGTAACCTTTGCAATCTTTGCTTTTACTTGAGGGCAAATTTATATATTTCTTCTTACTATCTCTTTTAATTAGACCCTACCATGACCCTTCTTGTAAATCTCTATTTTAGCAACAGAATACTGGAGAACAATTACACCAGCACACACCAGTGCACAGAAACATCTTCATACCATGAATCCTTAGTGTCAGGCTTTATGTCAGAATTCAATGTCTCTTGTACTTTAGATAAGGAGGCAAATTTAGCACCTCTTAAGAAAATTAGCATTTCTACAATGGCCATGGACAGTCACATTAAGGCTAACAATTAGCTCTCCAGAAGAGATTTTTTTGTAGCCCAATGTACAACTTTCCAGCCCAATGCAAAAAATAAAGACTGGGCTGTATATTAAACAAAAATATTCAGATACTTAGTTTTTCTTGTTAAATTCTGTTTTTGACAATTAGGAAGGATTATGGACTATTAATTTCTAAAAATAAGACGAAGAGTAAAGAAAACACTTCAGTTAAAGAACAAGCAACTCCCCACCCCCCCAAGCAACTCTCTTGTATGTGAAATTTAGATTGAAAAAAAAATATGTAAAGGCATCAAAATACGAGGGCAAACTGTGGAGGGTAAAGGACTAGCAAGAGGGGGAGGAGAAAGTAAGAGGGCAACGGTTATGTGTGAATATGAGCAAAGCGCGTTATATGCACGTGTGAGCATGTCATAATGAAACACGTTATTTTGTACACACAGGAGACTGTATGACTATATAAAATGATGGCATCCAAATGTTCTTTAAAAGCTGTGAGGTCACCACTGCTACAAGTTTGCTTAAGAAGGTGGCTGTAGATGAGCTGATGAATGTTTAAATATTCCTCAGTGCACAAAGCAAATGTATATTGTTAACAGTTGTCCAAAGAAATCATCTTCTAGCTAGTCTTCACAGTATCTCATAAAGCTAGCATAGAAAACCATTGTGTTTATAAACTCACTTAGGCTTATCCTATATCTCTTAAACTAATTTTGAGGAACATGGTTTAAAATCAGCAGTAATTTTGGCAGCAAACAAGCAGACAACCCAGCTAGCAAACTGTATACAAGTATTTGAGTAAGTAGGCACCTACCATGGCAAATCCAACATCTGCTTTCTTTAGTGCAGGGCCATCATTTGTACCATCGCCAGTTACAGCTACGACTTGGCGTTGCTCTGAGACAGTGCTGTCAATTATACCTTAAAGAGAAGCAAATATCAGTGCTCTAAAACCCTTTCAGCGAATAGGTGATTCTGTGGAATAGCCTCACTAGTCCATTTCAGAGACTCAAAGCTAAAAATACATTTAAACAAACATAAAAATATACACTGCTTAGCTATGAAGCAAAGATCAATTCTAGAAGCTAAGGCTATATTAGGAGTACTAATTACTGAAGGTGAGTACTAATCATTGAAGGCGAACATAACTTTCCCAAGATATCAGAAGAAAATATATCAACATTTTACTACAAAATGCTATTTGCGATTCAACTTAATAATCAGGGTTTGTTTTAGCTTAAGAAAGCAGAACACGTTTCTGTGCTGAGAACCGTGAGAGTCACACAATTTACTCACCTTTAACCAGTGTGTGTTTGTCGGTGGGAGATGATCTTGCGAGTACTCGAAGCTTTGGCCAAATCTTGTCTATCCTTTCTTGTTCAATCTATAAATTTTTATCAAGGTTAAAATGTGCCAAAACTCGTCTTATAATTCTCAATTAGCTAGCTGCCATGTTACCAGTGGTTCTTTACTCATGGTCCAAAGAGGAATAGAAACTCCTTGGAACGTCTCAGAATTGCAATTCTTGGGCAGGGCCTTAGGTCAAACAAATACTATTCTTGATTGGGGCGTCAAAAAAAAAATCTGTTTTAACAGGCTGACTTGGTGGCTCTGGTTCATGTACAAGAAGTTGAGGCCAAATCTTGAAAAATTCCCCCACTACCTATGAAAAGGCATGAGAATTCTGAGGAAGACGGCCTCCTAACTTCCACTTCACGTCCGCTCTGGCTGCCCACCTTGCTACTCTCGGCAGTCCTGTGTGTACCAAGTAGTCTACACCTAACTCCTTTCATAAAGCATTCCTGCCACATGTAAGCCATTTCAGAACCACTGCTCCTGTCTCCTAGACTGCAAGACGGCTTTGCTTCTGAACAGCATTACTGATGTAGAGAGCCTAACAAAGAATGTAGATTCAGTATGTACTGGTTGAAGAAATTACTAAATACACTAAACATATCAATTTAAAACTTGGAAAAATTCTTACCTCTCCTTTTTCATTTCGTATTCTTCGGTTAAAATCTTTACCTTCTAAGCAAAGGAAATCTTCCCCTGGGTGTAAAATACCACATTTGGTAGCAATAGCCCGAGCAGTATTAATATTGTCACCAGTGACCATGCGCACAGTAATTCCAGCTCTCTGACATTTCTTTATTGCCTCAGGTACCTGGATGACACAAGAAAAAAATTATTAGGACAGAAAATTATTATTTCCAAAGAAAAGCATTGAACAAATATGATCTCACAAACTCACAACTGACAACTTTATCTCAAGATGCCCAAACTTTCTTCACTCCCTGTCAATAATGTCTTCTCTTCTATTACTGCCAGCCATTTTCAGCTGCCAACCTCACTCTGTATACTAACTTCTCAATGCTATTAAAAGCTTCTTTCCTGGAAACCATCAGGCGATTCTTATGTGGTAGTTTTTCAATGACTCAGGCTTACTGTCTAGTGGATACCTGAGTAGGACATTTAGTTACAGATGGCTCACTTATTTTCCTTTCTTCTAATCCAGTGAGTCTCAACCTGAGGGTCAATATCAGATATCCTGCCTATCAGATATTTGTATTACAATTCACAGTAGTAGCAAAGTTGAAGTTATGAAGCAGCAACAAAAATAATTCTATGGTTGGGGTTGTATAATATTTCCTACATCAGGTTGAAAGCCACTGTTCTAGTTCTCTTTTTTTAAAAATATTTATTTATTTATTACGTATACAATATTCTGTCTGTGTGTATGCCTGCAGGCCAGAAGAGGGCATTACAGAAGAGACCCCATTACAGATGGTTGTGAGCCACCATGTGATTGCTGGGAATTGAACTCAGGACCTTTGGAAGAGCAGGCAATGCTCTTAACCTCTGAGCCATCTCTCCAGCCCTGTTCTAGTTCTTTTATCTACTTCCCAACCATTTCTGAGCTAATGACTTTAAAATCCACACCCTTCTTCACACTCTGAGAGCTTTATCCCAGGTTCTGTCTACAAAGTGGGCATCACAATTTGGTGTATAGTATGCTTTCTAAACTAACCTGGGAGTCGACTCTAATTCTCTTTTCATTTCCTCCCGATGCTTCCATTAAGGACCAACACGTCATTACAGATTCTCTCTCAAACTTCTCCTGAGTCAGGTAGATCCCTAGGGCTTACTGAAACAGCTTTAACTGCAGTCCCTATCTCTCTGTTACTTCTTTAAAAGTCTTGTCGACTGTATGGTAGAATTCTTTTTACCATAGCAACACATGTTAAAAATACGCACGACTCCTCAGCGGTTACACACAAAGCACAGGGCTCTCGGTACTGAAGAGAACAGATGGCCTCAGGAGAGGTTTTCTAGATTTACTAAAACTTTCCTCTACTACATACAGACCGACGCGGCAGCGTGTGCTTCTGCTACTGTAGTTGCTTAAAAAATTCTTTTCTGTCTTCTAGTCAGAAAATCCACACAGATCCTACTAGAGCAGAGGCTGTGAATTTAAATGGCTTCGGGGCCACGCAGCCAGCAGCGATGAGGAAAATATGCCAATAATGACACACCCAAGAACAAAAGCTTAATCAAAGTGTTACTCAGAGCTTGTCTGGTTTGTTTTTTATGGAAGAATGAAGAGAGTCGAATGCTGACAATTCAAGAGAAAGGAGAAACTCTTTTGTGTGTATAATCTCTCAATGTATACCACCTCACATACATACACATGCAGAGGAGGGAGCTGCCTACCTGTGACTACTCCAAGTCCAGTTTAGACATCCCTTTGTTGCAGCTACCTACCTAAACAAACTTGGCCTTCATCTTACCATTAAATATCGCTATTAGTGGCTACCCCATCATATTACAGATACTTGTTTTTTCATGTCCTCAGCAAGTCTGTTTCTAAGGCAGGACCTTTACTTTATCTTAAAATCACCAAAGCAATTTCTTTCATTAATTTACACATTTAAGTACCTGGTAAATAAACAGAGCTTAGTATTTACCGTGCTTCTGAATTAAATGCTTCTGGAGAAACAGTTATCACAGGGATGCTTTTCAAGGGTGGCACAAATAGCACGGTATCTGATAGTCTTGGAACACATAAATAATTATGAACAGCTTAAATATGTATCTAAGTTTACAGGTTTATATTGTTATTTTTTTTTTTGTCATGCTGCCAACTCTTAGTTATCTGCATCACTGGAGGGGAGTCATTTCCACACTCACTGTAGCTAATGTTTACTGGGTGCCAGGTACCATATGAGGTCCAGTGATGCTTAGGTTATCGATTTTTTGTCAAGACCTGATCTATAAAATTCTGATCAATTGTCTATATAATGTACCTCTTGATATCTCATACAAGCTCAAGACACATTTTAGCTCAAACATCTAAGCAAAATCTCTGACTGGAAACTCATCTACGATCATTTAGACAGTACAGAGATTGGGACTGATTTAAAACTGTGTAGGAGTATTATTTATGAAGGGCAGATTGGATGTTGGTTACCATGGCTTAGTTTAAAAGGTAGGGGAATTGCAAGGAGTAGACCAGTCAGTATTTAATTACAATGAGCTAAGAAGAATAGCTTTTCTAAAGTTCTAGGTACGTAAATGTAGGCACAAACAGCAGGCAAATGTTGGTCTGGCACCACAGGCTGCGAGGTGGGCATAATGGGGGATGAGTAGCAGTGACTATGGAGCTATCATGACTGACTGCCATGACATCTGCATAACTCTCGGTAAGCAAAGGAAGAACCATTAGACCACACTTTAAATTGGGATGATTCAGGAATTATATCTTAAGTAGGTTGATTAATAATGATAAATTCGTATTTGTTTTCTGCCTATTACACAGAAAGCATTTCTAACTTGCACCTTAAAAACTGCCTCCATTTTTACAAGCTGGGTATTAAAGCAAGGTGACATGTCTTGTACAAGTTCCCAGGCAGCTACAGGAAACCTGATTTGTTCTGTAGCTTCCATCAGGACTCATGATTCAGAACTGCACCAGTCAGACATCAGGGAAGCTGGTTCAAACTTCCTCACTGCATCTGCTCCACACACCCATCTTATTTCATGAAGAAAGGCCAATTAGTATATTTTAAAGAAAGCTCTCCCCCAGCTAAAATGCCAGAATATAAAGGACTTAAGAAAACTTGAGTTTCTCTAATAGACAGTAGTTACAGCTATCCTAAGTATTCCATTAGATAAGATTTAAGCTGCAAGTCAACGCACAGAACTCTGAATGATTTTCCTATCAGCAAAGATTGACAATCATCATTGACCTGGATGCCAGATAAGCCTGTGAAACTGCAAAACTGCAAAACCCCAAACTGAGATCTCTCAAGCTACTGTGTTGTTTTACTCTATGACATGGAAATATCCTCTATCATTCATCAAGTTAAGCAAGGTAGAGACTGGCTCCTCCTGCTTTGTAAGGTTTCTATTGGCTCTCAGCTTCTACCAGTTTCTATGATTGTATTTTCCCCAGGATCTCTTTTTGTCTCATAAACAATTTCTCCAGCCTATTTTCTCCAGTACTATTTTGTGGCTTATAGGTCCAAATGCCTACTTGACACACACAGGACATCTCATACACTTCCACAGGGTCAAAACCCAGAATACGCAAACCTAACATACCCATTCATCCTTACTAGTCTACCTAATCAAGCCATCTTTCATTTTACATTCCCTGTCAAAACTGCAGTTCAAATATTGCTGGAGACTGGTGTAAAAATTTCACTGGGTGTTCTGCTTCTATTTCTCTCTTTCTAGTCTTAAAAATCGTATTTTAGCATACAAAGAATGATACAATACTGGCATTGTAGAAAATCTCAGAGGCCTTACGGTCTAGTTAAGCCACGGATAATCTCATCTCCTGCTTCTTTATATTCATCAGCACACTGGCTTCCTTTCCATTTTCATACAGCTCAATACAGTTTTCTCCCCTGCAGCCCCCTGCACTGTTTGCTGTCTGTCTGTGTAATGGCAGTTCTTGGTTATTGATCTGACTACCTCTGAATGAACTAAAGCCCAAGCAGCTGGGTCACAGTGAGGGATATTTTCTTAACTGAATCATTCAAAGTGGGAAAACCCTCTTTTCAGGTGAGGAGATCTACCTCTAATCGGCCACACCTTCTGCTGGTAGTCTACCTAAAGAACACAGAAGAAGGAAGCTTGTTCCCATTGCTGCTTGCTCCCCCTCTTACCAGCAAGTCCATTCCTTCACTGGCATTAGAGCCTACTTCAGGATGCTGGTGCGTACTGACTCCTAGCCCCGTGAACTGAACAACTACTACTATACCATTCTACTGGTAGACAGCCATTGTTGGACTAGCTGGACCACAGCCTGCGTGTAAGCAGTCTAATGAATGTCCTTTCTATATACATATAGATTCATTCTGTAAGTTTTGTTCCCCTAGAGAACCCTGACTAATACAGCCTGGAAAGCTCTTGTGGCTATTTATATGCCTGGCTCCTAGTGACCCACCATATTTCATTTCAGCTCGAATTCTTAATATAGTCTTCCTCAATTACCTTATTTTATTACCCCATGCAGATCCTTTACAACCCTGATGCTCTCACAAGAGGTCTATTTAATGTTAAACTTCCATTTTCATCCTCATAGCTGTCCCCCATGTAAAATATAAGGGTTATGAGAGCAGGGACCATCAGTATTCTCCACAAAGCCTTTCCTCTCCAGTGGCATACTGTCCAGGTATCCATCCTTGTACTACTGGGGTATTTTCTTCCAGAATATACATTATCTCATGATTTTGCTCACTGAAGTCAGTATTTCCTGTTTTCAGAAGGTTGTCCAGTATTAACGGTTGGATAAATGACTTGATAATGTATTGAACCAAAGTATTTTTTGCTTTGCTCCTTCTTTGCTTAGATGTACTATGTTCCCAAGGCTCCCTGCCCTAACTTCTTTAGCTCATATCCCCTGAGACTCAAGACAATTAATCAACCTTTAAGTTTTATTTAAACCCTGTAGTGGGAAATACAGTTTAATGATCTTTTAAACTTTTGTTTTAGAGTTAGAGCTGGGATTTGAATATACTGTCTATTGTTCATAGACCATATATCTCAATATTTTCCTCTGTCAAATCAGAGTAATTAATAATATAACCACCTGGTAAGCACTAAATGAAGTTATATGTGAACTTCGCAGAAAAAAACAATAAAAAAGATGCTACTGCTTTAGATTAGGCTGATAACCCCTTGGTCTCCAATTATACAATATGCTGGCAACGTACTAACATCAAATACTATATCCACTATTACCCAAAATACTGACTTCTTTGAAGCCAGGGATCAGATATCTAAACTCTTTCTGACGTTAGTATATAGAACAGTGTCTGGAATACACTTCAAAACCAAAAGTCAGTAAGCACACAAAAATTTCAATTAATTTAAATGGCAAAATCTAGTGTTTCCTACTATCAGACGTGGCAGATATTTAAATTTAAATAAAGTCAAAAATCCTGTTTTCCAGTTGTACTTGTCACACCTCAAGAACACAATAGATACACACAGCCAGTATCACAGGCATTTCTGCCTTCACCAAGAGGTCCCAGTCCACAGAATAAAACCTAACTGTGCTAGGTTATTGTGCTATAACCATACAGGATACCGCGGCAGCTGTTTCACTGATAGCAGCAGGGTACTGTATGCTATTTTATTATTGCTACATTATGGTTCCACTCATCTTCGGTTCACAGAATAAAGATCACGGAACATCAGGAGTGGTACTGGAAGACTGGTTATGGCTAATGTCTAGATCTACTATAGCACAGGATCCCACACATGTAGAAGAGGAGAGTTCACCACCTCAGGCCTCACGGGATCTTCAATCCCCACAACAGCAATGCAAGTAAGGCCAGTGACGACATCATTCTCATTATCCCATTCTGGTTCTGGTTCTCCAGCTGGAAAATCTCTGAACGCAAGGCATATGGTTCTCAGGCCTTCTGATGCCATTGGCTCAATCACAGTTTTTACAATATCATCACGGTCCCTGGGCCGGAATACTTTTGCCTCACCATTAGCACTCAAGATTTTGAAACACCTACAAGGGAACAATGGATGCAAATATCAATAATTAACAAAAGTAAGAGGTGATATCATTTAAGAGAACTGCAAGGGCAAGGGAGCTCATGGGATCTGACATCAGGAAATGAGGGAATCTTACACGGTGCATTTTACAGACTAGTTTACTCTCCCCTTGACTAAATAGTTCTCACCTGTATGGCTCTTATTTATGGTTCTTAACCAGTTACCATGGACAGTCTCTAGGTTTTCTTTTTTGGGAAATGCTGTTTTAAAAACGTTTTCACAAAGATTCTCAAGTGGTTACATAAAATATTTTCTCCTTTTAAATAAACAGGGTAAGTTCAAATTAACCCCTTACCTGTGAGATTATTTCATCACCTATATTGTTTTAACCACAAAAGAAAAAAAGAATCTTTTTGTTAAAATATCAAAATAGGCATTTTATGAGAGAAAGATTACATCACATAGTTTAATTTTTAGTGAAACTAACTCCAAGACTCCCCCTAGTACGTAGTGAAGTCACATCTTCTATATTCCTCTTTTTGTGATGTCCTTCTATATGTTTCCATGGAAGTGTCTTGGTTCTCTCTCTCTCTCTTTCTTTTGAGACAAAATTTCTCTGTGTTTGTATAGCTGTCCTGGAACTCGCTCTGCAGACCAGGTGACCTTGAACTCAGAGATCCGCCTGCCTCCGCCTCCCTGAGTGCTAGGATTAAATGTGTGCACCACCACTGTCCAGCCACGGAAGTGTCTTTTAAATCTCCACCGTTCTGTTTTCTAAGGCTTTCGTCAGTGCTGAAGTGTCTTAACCTTGGTGCGCAAGACTGAATGCTGCCTGCTCACTGCCTGTGTAGTTGGCATTAACATTACCCCAACTGTTTTAGGTAACTTGAAAATTTCACGTGAACACTGGCTTCTTCATCCCCAAAGCATTGTCACCTCCTAATTGCCACGTTTCTTTTCTCTCTGTGGTACTGAGGAATGAGTGTTCATTCCTTTGTATCCACGTCCCTTCTTTCCCGTGGCTCTCATCTCCCAGTCTGAGCTCCTATGTGACAGCAACAGCCGTTTCATCCATCCCCGGCACCAGTCGCTCCTTTCATCCTGACCTCGAATCAGTTCCTGATTCAGGAATGGCTTCCAGTCACAGCCTTCTTGTTTCTGTCTTTTAAACGAGGTTTCATTATGTAGTCCATGACTTTCAAATGCTAGGGGATACACATCTAGACACATGCACCACCACATCTAGCGTTTAGACACAGCGCTTTGATGACAAATGCTCTAATGGTATTACCTGGTTTCTCAATTCTCACCTAATCATTCTAACACTCAAGTCTTTAAGCAGAATATAAACATAACTGAGTTACTGTGCACTTACTACACAACAAGCTCTATGGGAGGAATTTGCTGGCTTGGCATTGCTTAGCTGCTGGTTGCCAGTCCCTTTTCTAATGGAGAATGGAAAGTAAGGAGAAAAAAATTCTGACTCAGATTTCAAAGCTAATTAGTTGCAAGGAAAGAGTCAATGTTTGATTGACTTTGATTAAAAAAAAAAAAAAAACCTCTCCTTTGCCAATACCGTATCTGTTACCAAGTAAACCAGGTCTACAACAGGTTCCTACCCTGTCACACTGAATGAAATTACATAACTGTGCTAGAGATGAAAGATGATTGTAATCTAGGTCTCACAACACCTTCTCACTTCCTGCTTAGCTATACAAGAAGATGTTTTCCAGCACACTGCATCCTGTCCCCTTGAAGTTCTCAATTCATACCCACACCCATTTTAAATGCAATCTCTCCTCTAAAAGCTCAAAGAAGCCTAGGTTAGATCCAAGAAGGAATTGTGGCAAATGCCTATAGTCCCAGCATTTGGGAGATGGGGGTACAGGGGTATAGCCTGAGCTACATGAAATTCTTTATTAAAACAAAAACTAAAACAAAACAGTAAAATAACTTCTATCAGCTTACCAAAAGCTGCTTTTAAAAATTTACTTAACCTCTTAAGGCTATTAAGACTATAATGTGTCAAGCGTACATTAAAATACATTAAATTATAAACCATATACAAGTAAATCAACAATAGAAACATTCAAAATGCTTTAATAGTAACTCCAATTTTCCAAAATTGCTTTTACGTTTTTTGATAGTTCTCTATTAGAATAAAAAATAATTTTAATAGCTGTAATAACATAGCTAATAGGAAATTATGTTTCTATATGGAATGTTAACTTTGAAACTAGGGAACTATAAAGGACAGTAAGAAACAAAGATTACATATAAAATAGAAATATAAATTTCCCTTGGATACAAATGGGGACTTTCTATTTATATCAATAGAAAATTGGGCAGTAGTGGTGCATTCCTTTAAACCTAGCACACAGGAGGCAGAGGCAGGAGGATCTCTGAGTTCAAGGCCAATCTAGTCTACAAAGCTAGTTTCAAGGCAGCCAGGACTACACAGAGAAACCCTGTCTCAAAAAACAAATAAATAAATCCCAAGCCAACCAAATAAAAAACAAAAGATTTTTCAAGATTATATAAAATATTGGAATCAATATCTATTAAAAAAAACTCAAAGCAATGAAGCTGACCTTATTTAAACTACCACACTAAATGTAATAAGCTTATTTTCCCTAGAGCAAAATGCTGAGAAATTAGAAGCTACAGAGTTGAGAGGCAAAACACAGCAGGCAGATCTCTGGACACCAGAAAGTATGCAATAGTTGTGATGTTATCAAATGTACGATGCTCACAAAGGAAAGAAACAACCTCACAGTGGGATTTCATGCCCAATAGTCAGTCAGATTATTCATCTAAGCACTTCACACTTACTTTTTCAGCATTATCTCAGAAGCACCCTTGCTGAAGATCCGGAAACTTCCATCTGAATTTTTCAGGACTGTACTCATGGACTTCCTAACAGAATTGAAGGTATAGACTTTGTACAGGGCTTCTTCTGGTATTTCATTTCTAACATCTTGATAATCCCGCTTTAAATCCAGGAGAAATCCCAACAAGGCACATTCTGTTTTATTACCCACATGACGAGGTAATCCACCCTCTTTCTCTGGTGGCTGTAAAAGAGTAAGGGTTAGAAGCTATCATTACTTTGCTTCCCTATTAAACATTTAACTTAAAATGTAAAACAGAATATAGCTTCTGAAACAAAATGATGTAGAAAATATCTTCTGAGAATTTCAAAGAAGGACAGATGTAAGGTAGAAAGGAGTCTGGGGAAGGGTACAGTACAGCCAGTTGCTAATCAAGTGAACTTCTGTCAAGCTTTCCAGCTACAATGGCTGTGGCTTTAGTAGCTATATAAACAGGAGACTTATGACTTATAATTAAATGACATAAGATGTATCTATCTTATAGTTAATTCTTCACACACAATAGGACTTAATTTTAACTCCTTTTCTCTTTTTGTTTTCATTGAGTATCTATATATTAAGTAATTCAAAACCAAACCCTTATTTGTAAGTATAGAAAGTAAAAACTCAGGCATTTTGCTAGTAAATGGCAAGATCCAGACTCTCCTAACTTCCTCGTAGACCCATTCATGTTCTCATTAAGCAACTTGCAATATAATTTCTGCCCAAAGATTTAAGAAATTGCTACACAATAAAAAGTGAAACACACGTTATACTTTCTGTTTAAATTTTGAAGCTTGCAAAGTTGAGAATACCTTAAGAAAGTTCTCACAGAATCTATGATTACTTTATGAGCCTTTAAAAGGTCTAAAGACAACTTTATGGGTAGGAACTACTGAGAAATAAAACAGTGGAACAAGCTTATATGAAGGACGCTACTGACAGTAGGTTCAAGGATTTCTTTAAATTGACACTGGGTGCTCTATTATGAGAAAGGCAAGCAGGTCCTTTACAAAACGAACGTAGTAACAGTAATTTAGTATTATGAATTTAGTATTAGTGTGTGGGCTGGGAATAAAATGGGGGCAGGACACTGACTTAACAGACACAGGTCCTTTGTTCTATACCTGCCACTGCAAATTAACAATAAACATGAGACTGTAGCCTGGTGTTCTGACTGTAAAGCATCAAAGTTTCTGAATACCAGAAATTAAAGATAAAAAGATATACAAGTGTGGGCTAGCAGATGGCTTAGGGGTCATGACACTTGTACACGCCCAGAAACATAAGTTTGACTCCTGGAACACAAGTAAACTTAGAAGGAGAGACCACTTCCACCTCTGACCTCCACAGGTGCCCACACAATACCAGGCACACAGACACAGTAATAATAAAGAAGTAACAGATCATATATTAATCATATCATAAACAATAATCCTCATGCATATAAATTAAAGAAATCTTACCAATATCTTTGACGTATAAGCACAATTCACAGAAATTCCTGTTACTAAATAGGACAAAATATTTGGTGGAATGGCTTCTGGCTCAGGAACCTTTTTATAATGCTTTTCATTTATATAAGCTTGGACGACTGTCATTCTGTTCATTGTCAATGTCCCCGTTTTATCTGAACAAATAGCTGTCGCGTTCCCCATGGTTTCACAAGCATCCAGATGCCTCACTAGGTTATTATCCTTCATCATTTTCTATAGTGACAAAAACCAAACCAAAACAAAACCAACAATGTAAAACAGTTAAACTACACAGAAAGACAATCACTTCATTACATTACAATGATAAAATCAATTAATACAAACACAGCTTAAAAATATCAGCTTAACACTGGAAGGATTTTACATATTTGACCTACTCAAATAAGCCAAAGAGAACACTACCAGCATTTAATGGTTTCAACCATGGTACTGATGCATTACATAATCCAAAAGCGATCTCAGCATCTATATTTAGGTGCTACATGCTTGAGATACGCTAGTGAAATGTCTTACTTTCACAACCGTCACCTGTAGGTATAGTAGTAATTAAAGTAAAGCAAGACAAAGGACCAAGTCTCATTAAGTACAAGATAAAGACTCCTCAGCAATTTCCAACAACAACATAGCTTTAGTCAGAGAAAATGAAAACTTTGTGATGGTGGTTGCTTCCTCCCCCTTTACAGGCTGAGTTAACATTCAAAGACATGACCGAGTCATTTGCATCCAATCCAAATGCTAGAAATTTTCATCCTTAGAATCAAAGTGCATGTCACTGCTTTCATTTGTAACCAAGGGGGACAGTTTCAAAGATGCCAAGACTTTTCACAATAGCTGAAAAAGATATTTGAATTAAAGTCACACACACACACACACACACACACACACGATTACAAGAATTCATTTCCAATGCTTCTCCACCCATAACTAAAATCAAAGGAGAATATACAAAACCCCAGTTTTTGAGTAAGCATAGAAAAGAGAAATGTATACTTCCAAAGTTACTTATTATCTGGATACAAGAAACTGAAAGTATAAAATCTGCAGTAGAGGAAATAGGTTGAATTTTAGGAAACTGACAAGATATAGAAAGACCACAGCACCGTGAAAAAACAGAAGGTGATCATATTAGGCCCAAACAGACATTTAACACAAGCTGAAAGGACTTTAGGCAAAATGGTCTCACTCTTCTATTGAAGGAACACAAATCAGCTTACCTGTATCTTTCTGATGAACTGAAAAATTAACATCATTAATGACTATACAAAATGAACTAATGACAATACTGGTAAAGTGGGTGGTTTGTCAAATCAGTATTTATTCTAATTGTTTTAAAGCACCAGAAAAGTACAAATAGATGGTTAAACTGTGTTCTGTAAATATCTTATCATATTATAATTTTTTAACTATATAAATTGTGTTAAATGCCTGAAAGGAAAATAAAGAGTGGGGACCCGCAAGGTGGCTTAGTGGGCGAAAGCTGCTTATAGCCAGGCAGTGGTGGCGCACGACTTTAATCCCAGCATTCGGAAAGCAGAGGTAGGCAGATCTCTGAGTCTGAGGACAGCCTGGTCTACAAGAGCTAGTTCCAGGACAAGCTCAAAGCTACAGAGAAACCCTGTCTTGAAAAACAAACCTCCAACCAAACAAAAAAAGCGGCTTGTTATCGAGCCTAGTGACCTAAGTTGGATCTCAGGGTCCCACAAGGCAGAAGGAAAGAATCCACTCCAGCCAGCTGTACTCTGACTTCTACATGCACACAAATGCACAGACACAGTAAATTAAGAAAAAATTCAAACAGTAAGCAAGACACATTCTTATGACTGGCCATTTGTAAAACATTTGGAATACTGAAGGAAAAATGTAAGCACAGAAGTTGACTGGTTAGATTTTTCCCCATCAGAAATGTTATTAGCCAAATAACTTCATGAATTACAAGAGCAGCATTCTTGTGTTAAGTGTAACCCGTAAAGCTGAAATGGAAGAAAAGAGGTAGAAGGAATACTCAGAAACCAGCAGGGTAGACTGGAGCAGAGGGAGAGTGAGGCAGATGAGCACTGACAGGGACAAGAGCGAGGGCCAGAACGAGCAGGACTTTGCAGCTACAGGAAGGGAGTCAGAGGGTTTACACGTACATCTATGTGAACTGTTCTTGGAAATAAAACCCTGCCCACAAGTGGGAAGACTACGCTGTAGGAACAGAAAAGTAGAAACATGTGGCCTCAGGAACTGGTCTCAAGTAAAATGCCCTCGCTCTTGTGCAGTATTCTAACCTGCACATATCCTGGCCTTGATTTTACGGATGGGAAGGTGGGGAGGGTAAGACCCCACCAAGCTGCTGCTCTTCACGAAGTGAGCAGGTTGCTGTACACAGAAATAGTGAAATCACTACCTGCACTTTTATGGATATGGAAACCCTCCACTTTCCAGACCAGAAAAGGATTTACCGGGTATGCATTTTCTAAACCAGCCAAGGCTTTAAACATCATGTCTACCAACTATTCCCACGAACCTTGACTGAATAAGCCAGTGAGATTGTGACTGCCAGTGGAAGGCCTTCGGGCACAGCAACTACTAGAACGGTAACTCCAATAATGAAGAACTTCACAAAGTACTGTATGTAGATTGGTGTGCACTCAGCAAGCCACGGTCTCTTCTGGACCCAGAAGGTATCGATCACAAAATATAATACTAGGATGATAACTGTGATGGCAGACATCAGCAGACCTTTAAAGACAGAAAAGTGGCAATTGTTTAAAAAGTGCAGACACTACCCACTGCCAACTGTATTAGCACTGTAAGGCTATTTTATAACTCGGTAAGTTATGTCTATTTTAATTTTTCTGGGAAACTGTTATCTCCAATTTGTACTTCATTTATCATATCTGACCCCTGTCAGATTTAAGTTTTGCTTCTAGGTATAATCCTGACTCCAGAGACTAAGAGAGGAGCTTCTGTGGTTCTTTGACAACTGTGTCTTGTCTTCGAAAGGCCCAGGTAAAGCAAGAAGCAAATACAAGAGAATACCAACAGATCAGCGTAGGCTAGCACTTGCAATGCTCAACATTCTGAAAGATACATGAAGGCCGGTCAACTTAAGAGTCTCAAAATTAAGTTAACTACGTTTAAAAGTATACACATAAAAGTATACTACCTGGATCATTTCCTAATTTACTTTTAATCTATCTTCACTGATGCATTAACTCAGAAAAATAAACTTTTTTTTTTTTTGAGACAGGGTTTCTCTGTGGCTTTGGAGCCTGTCCTGGAACTCGCTCTGTAGACCAGGCTGGTCTCGAACTCACAGAGATCCGCCTGCCTCTGCCTCCCGAGTATTGGGATTAAAGGCGTGCGCCACCATCGCCCAGCCAGAAAAATAAACTTTAACTATATACTACAAAACATTTGCCCTTCTGTTATTTAGCCTCTTAAAAATGAATATTAAAACATAAAGCAGGTCTAAATATCTGGGTCTAATACCCTAGTAGTAAATGTTTACAAAAATATATTTTTTTTCATAGCCAATCAACAGAAGGCTGAGCACAATGTGTGCCAAGAAACTGTTAAAGTTTGATAATTTGTACAAAATCACTTCCCTGATAGTCCCTTTTCATTACTGACCCTAAAAGTTTAAAGACGATTACAAGGCCTTGTAAATTAAGCAAATTCAGGCACTAATTTTAACTTAATCACTGACTGACCAGGTCACTGACAGAAGGGGTAATGGCCCATATGCCATAATCACATTATGAGTGTCTATGGTAATCAAAAAGCCCCATACAAAAATAAAAAAAAAATATTCTAACTCCAACATCCTTTACACTTGCCAAGTGCCATTTCCAGTCCTCGCTGTGTTGAGAGACCCTCTCAGGTAGGAAAGCACAGATGCACTCCAGAACCAACACCCATTCTCGGGTCATACCTGCTTTGCCAATCTGAACAGCCAGTTTTGTAAGTTTCCCTTGTAAAACGGACTTTTCTTTTTTTGGCAAATTTGCTTTCTTTTTGTCTTTTTCATCGCCATCTCCTCCCTCTTCACTCTTTAAAGGCTGCATTTCCATGGCTGCACCATCCTGGGCTTTTGCTAGGTTCAGAAAAAACACAATTTTGCTGCATTTAAAGGCATGATTAACTTTTTTTTTTTTTTTTTTTTTTTACAAAGTTTGTTACAGGAAAAAGGCTGAACCATAAACATCCAGTGCTCTGTGCGTATGTGTAATGGGAGTACCTACACCGACAGAATAAGACAACAGTGACATTAACCTGTGGTACTGTTCCAGATTTCAGAATGCCACATTCAGTGATAGGAATGAGCTATACACAGTCCTTAAATAAAGAACTAAGAATACTAATTTCTTTTCATGCGATGTTAGGGATTAGGCCATATCCAAAGACTACAGATCCCTCTGATTAACTTACGATCAATACAGAATATTAGATATGATTTCATATATAAAAATATACATATTTATAAACTTTTAAATATAATTTACACTCTACAGATTCTTAGGCATTTTTGCTACCAACTATATACAATTATATTTTCTACCAACTACATAGTAACATTTCAAGTATGTCAGAACACTTGAAACCCTTATGTGGAAAGCTACCTAAGCATAGTAGCAGAAGTCATAATTAACACCCTCTTAAGACCGTAGAAACAGCATGACTACGGCACTGGCAACAGAGGGCAACCCAAGCTAACATTGCTGATGTTCCCTGCCACATGTACCCTAATTTTGGATAAATATAGTACACAGCAGACCTATTTTTGGGGATAACGAAAACAAGCTAACTGTACTTTTTCTTTTCCTCAATTTACCTTTGTTGCGATTCTCAATAGCTCCATCTTGTTTCTTATCTGTAGGAACAAAATGGGAATTAAAGCTTTCCAAAAGAAATGAATACGGCCATGCTAAATTATGCAGAGGTAGTTCACATTTCTATAAGGGAATTGTTACACAATGGTGTACAAGTATACAAAAAGAAAACACCAGTTTGTTGACTTGCGTCAATCACTTCCTACATCTTACCACGGGAGAATATTCCAAAATAATTTAGGGCATGCATACTGTATTTCTGCACAAGACTTTATTCTTTTATAAGTTATAAGCCCGAATATGGTACAAGAGATTGACAAGCTAAATACAGACCTAACCCTGAGAAAGCAGAAAAGGAGAGGATAGAGAGGGAGGGAGGAAGGGAGGGATGCTATAAAAAGAAAACAGGCATACAGGGGAGCTATAGTGGGAATGAGAATGAGAAGATGTAAAAGACAGGGAGGCAAGTTAGTAAAAGCAAATATTAATATGCCAGGATGATTACCAGTCAAAGAAACCCCCTAAATTAGCTTAGAATCACAGAACACAGAGACGTCACGCGTCTGAGGCAATAATCAAGAAGGGAACGGGCAGGTCTACTGTTTGGAACAAGCAAACCAGCCTGTTTCCTTCCAACTTCACTATCAAGAAGAGCATCTTCAAGCTGGGAAACCTGGAACATACGTCAGGAAAGAACAGAAGCTTGGGCTAGATGAAGCGATAGTAAGAGAACACCTAGCTACCGTCAGTGAGCTCAGGCCTGGACAGGAGAAAGCTACATTCTATGCTGGCAAGCAAATGGACAGGGCATGGAGACAGATTAGCCTGGGCTGTGTCTGATTAGACGACTAAGTAGTCAAGAGAATAGGAGAGTTGGAGGGAAGGAGGAGAGAGAAGCAAAAAGTAAAACAAGCTAAACAATGGTTTTGATGTTAATTCCTAGGGCTATTCCAGGCTGGACTAATAAAAGCACTTGGAAAAGACACTGGGGGACAGGGCTTATCAGAAACGTTTCTGTAAGGTCAGAAAGATCAGTCATTAACACACTTCTTTTTTATAGGATCCAATGATGTTCGACTCCTGTGTATCAGGAGAGGAAAGAGCAAAAGGAGTTTGATCACACACTTGCTACCTGATCAAGTTACACAACCCTCCATGAGGTCAGTTTCCTAGCAGTAAGAGTAAGACAGATGAAGATGGAGTGTGCAAACCACTCAGTAACCACTGCTACCAGATTTCAAGAAGCCTGTGGTGGCTCATCAAGGGCTGCCTGCAGTACTGAAGTGGAGAAATCTAGAACAAGGGGCTAGCCACCCTCAACCTGAGGCACAACATTTCACCTGTCCCACCCCTGGTGTTGGGAAATGAACACATGCCATGACGTTCTCTAACACTGAGCTACACTCTCAATCTAAAGAAATTTTCTAATACATTTTACTTAAAATAAGAACTTCACATGAAAATACAATGCAAAAAAACCAAACAACCCATGAAACTATTAGGGGCTCTGAGGCAAACCAGGTGCCATGGCTCCTGTCTGTAATACCAGTACTTTCAAGCAGGATGACTGCCTCAAGTTCAAGTCAACCTGGGCTACCCACTGAATTCTAAACTAGCCCAAGGCAGAATATGAAACCCTGGCTTAAAAATAGTTCATGCAAACATGCACCTCTACTGTGGGTCTGATTCTGGGTTCTAGGCTCAGCATGATAAACCACGGCAACAAACTCCCAAAAAACAACAGATTAAAAACTATGATAGAGTACGGCAAGCCAGAATTTTAGCCAGGCAATTTTTTTTAGATCTTAAAAGACCCAAGAAACCAAAATATAGGCTTACATCCTAATGAAAATTAAATAAATCCAAATGATTACAGGACACTAACTGCTGCCAAGACAAAGGAGAGGAGTCCCTGAAAGGTCCCTCTGAGTGAGATGAACAGTGCAGAGGATACCAGGAAATGGTACAGGAGGGCATTCTAAAGAGGCATACCCTGAACTTACATTCTGAGATGTCTGTGTGTTTGTTTATCCGTTTGTTCTAAGAGCTCTGTGGATAAACCATATGCTATCAAAGTCTGCTGACAGATCTCCTGGAGAGACAGCAGAAACAGTCAAAATGAAAGATCTTGACATTGAATGATGGGTCAGTATGTCAAGACAAGCAGAAAGTGTCAAAGTGCAACCCTAGTCTGCGTGCAAACATTTACCATGTATGTATAGAATGGACACCAGAAAGGCAAAAATCTGAAGATTAAAGACCAAGCGAGAGCAGGAAGGGAGAGTTGAATTCATAGTGATGATCAAATGAGCAGAGAAGAAACAGGATGAAGCCCAAACTGAAGTACTACTAAGTGTATGCTGACTCTGTCTCTTCCTGTGGTAGAGGGGCCTGGCGCACTAATGAAAACCATTTTTGCTCTTGAGAGTGCATCAGATAATTAACATTACATTACATTTTCATATTACAGTCTCATGAAAGAGCTCTATTTCAGGACCAGTTTTGAAGATTCCCAGTCACTGTTAATTCCAAATACCAATTCTTACAGCCAACTACTACACCTACTCTTCTTTTCTTTTTTCTTCTCATCTTTCTTTTCTTCTTCTTCACCTCCAGCTCCAAGTAAGGTAAAGATAATTCCAGTTTGAGAATTCACACCTACAGCTGTAACCACCATTCTTCCAGAGCCTTCCATTACATGAGTACCTATAACAACAGAGAACTTTGTAAAAAATTATAATAGCTTTCCCTCCAACAATTTCAAATTTCAGCCATACTGTTTTTAATAAACAAGATTTAATAAAGCACACTAATATATTAAAAAGCACACTAATATATTGAATCTTAAACTCTTGTGCTTAAAGCAATTTGCAGTCATGAGGTTAAACTTTTATTACCAAGTGACAAAAGGAAAATAACACATCAAATCCTTGTGTAAAATACCAGATTATAGTACCTATATTTCTTAAGATGTAATACAACTCATATTTCTCAAAAAAGCCTATAAGGGAAAAATTAGCACATTGCTTGGAATGTGTGAGTATTCAATGAAGTCAGTATTAGCTATAACATAAGAATGTAAGGGCAGGGGGGTTAGCATCTAAAAAATATATCTTTCAAACAGAAATATGCTTATGGCCAGAATTCCACAGCACAAACATGTTCTCATACTCAACCCTAAACCTCTAACCCAGGCTTTCAACTCAGCTTGCCAACGTTACTGACAGCTCCCTAACTTGTTTCTCTGCCTCTCTAGTTTATCCCCGTGTTTTAGTATTCCTACAGTGTAATTTAACATCCTTCTTAGGATTCAGTAATCTCTGACTCTAAACACTGCCTACTGGATCAAGCCCTGAATCTTCATTTGACACTAACCAACCTTCTCAATTTTCTTGACTACAACTCTAACATAAAATTCCAATCCAGGCAGCTAGGAACATAGATAGGAACAATGATTTCAGATCATGTCCTTCACAACGATCTTTCAAGTTGACAAACATTATTATAATTTTCTAGAAATTGGCCTAAGTTATACAATTATCAAGAACAAGGCAAATATCCAATTTAGTACTGTCAGAAGATAATAGATACTTATGGCCACCAATTTCCTTAATACTCTCCAGTTTCCCCCACCGTCTTATATATCAAGTCGGGGTGGGTTATCTGTTAAATAAGACTGTAAAGTCCATGTATGCACTCCAGTCAGTCACTAGGATTCACATTTGGCTACAAATTATTGGGTAAATCATCCAAAGTGAACTTTCGAGGCCTTTGGTTTGTTATTGCTAAGAAACCAAACAAGAAAACACATCCTACATTCTTAGTGTTTTACTAATTACTGCATTTGTTGTCAGTGAAAATAAAAGGTAAGCATAGAAAATTCAGCAGGATAATATTTATAAACATGTATAAAAGACAATTTCTTTGAACAATTCTGGGTTTCTTCAGATTTGTTTTTGTGCTCTGTTTTTCCTTAGTCCAAATCTGCTCAAATGTTAGCAGTGACCATGGTCAAGAAAAGTAAACAGTTTTTCTTCAGGTCCTATCCCACCACTAACCGAACACTGCTTTTAAAAATCTAAATTTAAGAAGCCAAGAACAGCAGTGAGAGATGGCATCATGAGAGTAAATTTAAAAATAAATGCATGTCATGGTTTTGGTACATTTTTAGAACAGGGAAATAAATGCAGAGAAACTTTCCCACCCGTACTGTGATAAGGGATTGTACAAAGTTATTTCAGTCTTTTCTTGAACATGGAAATTTTGAGTTCTCTTGGTATCTTGGCATGTATATGTAACGTTTGTCAGTCATCTTTGTCAGAAGACCGGAGCTCAGTTAAAGGGACCAGGTTGAAAGAGCTAAGCACTTGGTAAATGAACTACACATACAAAGCAGTCCATAAAGGCAGCACAAGGCTATCTCTGTTGACCCAACATAATAGCCAAGGAGTCTTCAGTGATAAGACTGGGACTCTCTTGTCCCCTTTGGAAGATTATGGGTCTTACCTTGTTAACACTGATTTTAGCTTCTTAGAAACATGGCAGAGTAGTAGTAAAATGAGTACACGTTACTTACAGATATTATTCTTATACTAGTGATGATATGCATCCACTGTATGAATTGTAAGGACATCAAACACTCAGATAGGATTAACACTCTAAGTGGCTAGGATACTGACAAGCAGCATACAAACCTTGAGGGTTTTTTGTTTGTTTGTTTTTCCTGAGACAGCTTTGAAGTCTGTCTTGGAACTAGCTCTTGTAGACCAGGCTGGCCTCAAACTCACAGAAATCTACCTGCCTCTGCTTCCCAAGGGCTGGGATTAAAGGTATGTGCCATCATTGTCTGACCCCAAATCTTGATTTTTTTTTTTTTTGGATAAGACATTCCAATGTAATAATTGACACCTTTTCAAAAATGAATGTATAGTTACTCTTGATTATGATTACTATTTTTTATTTTTGCAGTAAGCTTTTATCACAATTACAAATTTTAAAAAGATAATGGTTAATTTTAGGTTCTGCTCTGAAGCTATGATTACAACTTAACTTCTGAAGGTATTATATGTATGTTTGACTTTGGTTCAATAAAGTCATGTTCAATCTAGTAAAATATAAAGCTAACAAAGGCCCGAAAAAAATACAAATACAGCTGCTAAGCTATTAAAGTTATTAACTATCAAACCAGCAGAAATCTTCGATTTATAGACATTAGCATTCTATGAACATTTGAAGACAAATAGGTTAACGTTTGGCCCAAGTCCAATATTAAAAGTTAATCTAACACTATAGCTCTGACAAGTACTTTCATAAATGATTTAAAGATATTTTAAGATTAAAAGTAGGGAATCTCAGAAATTTAAATTAGAAAAACTGAGCATCCTTTTAGACACAATCTGAGGCATTCTGGTATCTTTTCATTTAGTGTTTTAGTAGCAGCTTGCAATTGTTTTCATCGTCCTTTCAATTTCAATACCAAATAACCTTCGTTGATGTTATTACTCTTACGAATGACCACAAGTGTCCTGAGTAGTAGACATGAACACCTTCCTTTCCAACAGTACCCGCACCTATGCTGATCCTTCTTCTCCGTTCCTATAACGTGTAAATTCAAACTTATTTCTGACTGTACATGTGACTGTCAGTCCAGTATTCCTACTGTCAATTACTCATATAACCTGACATAAACAGTTTACATTTCAGACAAATTATCTAACAGTTCAGTGAGGTAGTTGCTTACATAAACTTCAGATATTTTTTGTTTTATTTTGTTTTGTTTCATTTTTCAAGACAGGGTTTCTCTGTGTAGCTTTGGAGCCTTGTCCTGGAATTCACTCTGTAGTTCTGGCCTTGAACTCATAGAGATCTGTTAAAGGTATATGCCAGCACCTCCTGGCTATAAACTTTAGGTTTTATTTAAAACAAAAACTAACTAGTTTTTTTTTTTTTGCAAATCATCAGAGTGCATTTTTGTTTTAAACCTATAGTCATTCTTTAATATGACTTTAATAGTAGACAAGAATAAATGTGATATAGAAAAAGTTTAATAGAGATCATTAGACTTATATTGGAGTTTTATCATTAACACCATCTTTCAAATTTCTTTACCTTTTGGATTCTATTCCCATTTATGAAATATACTATGTATTCCAAGATCTGCAATATACCTGTTACTGCTTAAAAATCTTCATAGATTCTAAAGTTAATGTTTTCTTGGCTTTTAGTAAAACACTCAAGTTTTTAAATTCATACCCGAAAGAAGTAAGGGATCCTTATCTAGAGACTTCTTCACATGATCAGATTCACCAGTCAATGAACTCTCATCGATTTTCAGGTCATTGCCTTGAATCAGTATGCCGTCGGCTGGAAGAAGATCACCTGAAACAGAAGGCAGTGATATGCTGAGCCGTCCACAAATTCAGCACAGCTCTGCATCTCACAGGTGGATGCGGTGCCCTGCACGGCTTACCATACTTCACTTGGGCAATGTCTCCGACAGTAATGTCAGCTACCGGTATCTGGATGACTTGACTGCCCCGGATGACGGTGAACTTCTGCTCCTGCTCGATTCGACTTTGCAAACCTCGGAACTGTTTCTCCTTACTCCAGTCATTGAAAGCCGTCACTAACACCACACACACCACCGACAGGAGGATTGCAGCTCCTTCAATCCACCCGGTTTCACCCTCACCTTCTTCTTCGCCCACAGAGACTTCTCCACAAACTATTTGCAAAGAAACAAAGTGGCAATTTCAAAAACCCAGTGACTACTTTCAGGTTTTTTACTTCATCAGTTTTACTCAGAGCTTTGAGCACCACTGAACGCAACCCCTCTACAAAGGTTCCTAATGAACCTTTCAGAGGGTGCCAGGAAGGAGGAAGCATGCAGAGAAGACCAAACTCCAGCCTCCAGGAAGTTCCGGGCATGCTTCTGCAATATGTAAGGCTTCATTTCAGGTAGACCCAACGAAGTCAACATTTCAACTTCCACAATTTCAGCTTTCTATTGCCTGTCAGCCATGTCCACACTAAAGTCTATGAAGTGTGCAGCTGTGTGAAGTCTAAAGTGTGCACACCATAATTACACAGAGCTTTGTGGCTGAGACTGCCAAGGACCATCCGAGTCTTCAGCAACACCTACGGCTGTGGGGCTGTGAGGGCTGCTGTGACAGCTAGACTCATCAGGATAGTGGGGGCTGAAGAAAGACAGGATGACCAATACCTTTTATTTGACTACCCTTTATTTGACTTTAAAAGGCAGGGTCTCTGTGTGTAGCTCTGGCTGACCTGGAACTGACTATGCAGACCAGGCTGAGCCAAACTCAGACTTCCGGCTTTCACTTCTGCCTTTCTGGTACTGGTATTAAAGGTTGTATTTAGGAATATATGTATATGCATATATGCATGTGACAATTAATGAAAAAAAGAAGACAAGGAGGGGTATGAAAGGGCCTAGAGGGAAGAAAAGGAAAGGAGGAAAGGACGTTAAATAGTTATAATCTTCCAGAATAAAATCAAACCAAGGATGAGGCTTGCCATTTTGTAAGGGTTTCCTGGAGCATTTAAGGCTGTCTGGTACCATTTTATCAACAGAAGAGTCACTTTCAAAGCTGAAATCAAGCCTCTCATACTTGATCACTAGATATACACAGTATCTAAATCCACAAGCCAATTCCACCTCAAGATGCCATTTTCTTTGCTCATCTGTAAGCAGCAACCGAGTCACATCTTCAGGCTAGTAGTCCTAAGTTAGTGCAGTCTACCCTGTTACTTCCTCTCCCGTGGTTAAGGACCCCTCGGAGTTATCCATGATGCTAGAATCAACGTCTTCCAAGTCTCTGCTACTGCTGACACTTTCCTCCATGAACCATGATGTCCTTTATGACATCTTGGCTGATGAATTCTTTCCTTAGATTTTCAGTTTTCTTTTCCTTTGTCAAATTACCCAGGAAACGTGTTTCTTAAATAAAGATACCCCAAAATTACTTCCTGAGTCCATAGGCTGTAGAACAGATGATGAACAAGCAGATGTAGAAACATTCGTTTTACCATACACCTTCACTGGAACTCTTGAGTGAACAGGTGCATTGTTACTGAGCAATAGAATATATATAACACAATACATTAATATATAATTATATATAATTTAAGTATATGGTATTTTAAGTATTATAGTCCAAAAATGGATATATCCTATTTATTAGTAAATTTATTGCTACAAACTGTCAATGATCATCTGAGTGTTCAATAGCTCCTTTTATTGTGGTGGTTGTTGAGATGTGGAAAGCTGACTTTCATGCATGTATAGATCCATAATTACAGGGAATCTCAACAGTGGGCTTGTTGGAATAGATGCACCATGAGCCAGGCTTTGCTATTCCATTTACAGAGCACAGGCAGAGTAGGCAGAATGAGCCTGCCCTTGGAAGCCGAGCACTAAAATCTTCTTTAACTACCAACCCTCTGGTATTTTCTTCCCAGACAAGGCTGTTCCATTCACACTGAGACAGTCTTGTAGAGCCATGCTCCTCAATACCACCAGCTCCATCTTCTGCCAACGCAGTTCAGCTTCTGCATCGGCACCTGACCCTCAGGCTGGGATTAACCGAGAAGGGCCCTTTATTTAAGCCTCATGAACCAACCTCAGCGAGCTTCCAAGTTTTCTTTTGCAGCTTCCTTTCTTTTCTTAGTCCTCAAAGAATTAAAAATCAGGGCCTTGCTCTGGATTACATGTTGGCTGACAGGAATGCTGTGGCTGGCTTCATCTTCTTCCCAGAACATTAAACTTTTTCTATATCGGCACTAAAGCTGTTTTCCTTGGTTACCATTCGTGTTCACTAGAGTAACACCATGCAGTTTCCCATAAGAAATCTCCCTTTGCACTTAAAATGTGGCTGTTTAGCGTGAGAGGCTATCTGCTATTATTACAGAGGGCAGACAAGATATAAGTAAAAAGCTAAAGGTGATGTACACCCGGCAAATCATTCTCAGTTTGACTACAGTGTGGTCACAGCTTGGCTTCTGTAGCATGCAGTTAAGCCGGCTGAATCTTGTCTGTTCCACCACATGAACCTACTGTGGCAGACACTACTTTAGGAAACCAAGGTAGCTAGGGAGCGAAGAAATACCGAGTTTCAGGTAAGGCGTCAATAATTAAGCATTCATAAGTTCATGGCAAAAACATAACATGGTTGTATATTGCAAAATAAAGTGAGGCTGAATGAGCAGAGAAAGTTGGTCTAAGATGCCCACAACAAGTCAAATGGTCATCAGGGACCACCAGCATAGAGATGGAAGGAAAGAGAATTCCAGGGGGAGACTGAAGTCAGTAGGAATTGTTGAAAAGCAGAAAGGTAAAGGACCTGGCCCTTGTTCGTTGGGGCTATCATCTAATCTAGTCTAAGACTGAGTCAGTGGTCCATGGCGATCCTCTGAAAAATAAAGAAGGGATACACACGCAGGGAGTCTAGTTTGCTTTTCTTTGTGTTTCAGCTCCACAGCCCATGCAGGCTTCAAGCTCTCCATCTTCCGGCTCAGTCTCCCACACACTGGGTTACAGGTGTGTGCTACCATGCTGCCGCTGACAACACCCTTTCCTGAAACTCAGCTTTGGGCGCTTACAAATTCACCAGAAGAGATCTATTCTTTGGAATACTACATGAGATTATGCTCTCTGAGCTGAACCGAAACGTCTGAAGCTACTGGTTGGACAAGGTGAGAAGAAAACTGAAACTAAAAATGAGAAAATAAGCAACTGCAGAAACGATTCCGCGTATTCCAGAAGTGTGCAGAGACCGAAGAAAGAACCTGGCATGTGAGGCTACAGGGCAATTATCAGTCTTGGAGAGGAACATGTGGAACGCTTGAGGAAGAAAGGATAAGCGTAAGATACACTTGGGATGAAGTTAATAATCACACACACACACACAAAATATTTTGGAAGCTACCAGAACTCAGCTTTCAGTGGGCACAAAGCATTCAGTTATCTGAATTTGTATTTTAATTATTTTCAGGCTAAAGAAATGACCATGTCACTGAGTACAATAACCAATTCAGGATTTAGATATGTAAAGAGACCCCATACACATTAGAGACTAAATCTAAATTAGATCACGTCTGGATTCAAAAACACATAAAAGCTATGATAATTAGAATGTAATGGCCTCCATAAACTCATAAGGAGTGGCGCTATTAGGAGGTGTGGCCTTACTAGAAGAAGTATGTCACGCAGAGGTGGGATTTGAGGTCTCATAAATGCCCAAGCCAAATCCAGTGTCTCAGTTCACTTCTTGCTGCCTTTGGACCAAGATGTAGAACTCTTAGCATCTTTTCTAGCACCATGTCTGACTGCATGCCATCATGTCCCACCATGATGAGATAATGGACTGAACCTATCTTGTCTTTTAACAGTGTGTGCCTGATTTTTATATGTACTTTCTCAATTGAGCCATCTCCTTTGCCCTAATGTAAGAATTTGACTCATATATACCCTGAGAATAATTACCACAATCAAGTTAATTAATAGTTTTAAACATTTCCACTTTAATTTAGCACATAGGAATATCTATACCCTAACTCACATAACCAAAAGTTCTTTGAGTCAGTCCTTAAGAGCAAGAGTAAAGGGTCCGCTTGAGACCAAAAAGTCTGAGAATCACTGACATCAGATACTACTGACTCAAGAATTATCTATATGGCACATACTGTATTTCATTGCCAAACAATATTAGTTAGAAATGCTGTTAATGTAGATTTCTTTAAAGTGAAAAAGTATCGGGATGACAGCATACGGGTAGTACACATACAACTCTTAAAAATAAAACAAAGTGCAACTACCAAATAAATTCCTACCATGGGACAAAAGCCTAGGTTTCATCGACTAGTTCTACTGGGTTCTGAAAAGGCTTTAGGATAACTAGATTGTCATCTCAGATGTATTAAGCAGAACTTCTAAGACATCTGAGGAGACACTTGACCTAGACTTTGCTCATAATAAACCTCACACCACTAAAAATAAAAATTTCCTTATAGTCTTGGAAAAAACTGCTAGTAAATTTTTTGTATTAATTTTTAACTAAAATCTAGAATATCAATTTTCAATATTCTATAATAAAGGTTGGGTAATGGAAAACTGAAAAATTCAGTTGTATGTTTTAAGACATGCAAAAAGCATGCACACACACACAAATAGATGACTACACACAGGCAAATATGGACATTTTAGAATCTGGAAGGGTTCTGAGGTATTTTACAGTAAATTATTATTTCCTTCTGATAAACTTGTCTTCAATTTTTTTTTCACAAACAAAACAAACCACACACCATTGCTTAAATAAAATTTTATTTGGTTTTTGCATAAATACTGACAAATATATTATCAAAATATCTTCTTACCTGCACCAGTGATTCTGATGCAGGGACAATTTTATGTCCCTATGAAACAGATTACAAAACCTGGATATATTTTTGGTGCCTTAACTGAAAGGATGGTCCAGAATAGTAAGAACTGGTTTTGATCAAATTTTAACAGTACTGTTGCTCAGAATTTCGGCCCTACACTGTTTAAGATATATGGATACTCTGTGACCGACTTCCTTAAAAATTAGTAAGACACATACATGTGTTCACACAAGTCCTAAGCACAGCTTTGTGAAATTTCTTTTGTATTTTACCTAGCCAACTTCTAGAGCTAGTAATTTTTAAAATTAAACTGATCATAGTACAGAAAGTGCAAGAAAGAAGCTTTCACAAACAAAACATTCTGAAATCAGTCCTCTGATGTCAAATACTGTGGGATGACTTGAATGTAGTATCCAAAATCCAGGCTAGATTCTCTAGGGTACAGCATACAGTAATGATAATACCCATTATAAATAATAAAGCCTTTTAGAAGGCAAACAAGAAATTGAAAGATCACTTGAGAAGCACAAAAAGAGCTGGATAGACACAGAAGCTGATCTGCATCTCCTATGCTAGACCTCCTCATGGGTCACAATGTCCCCCACAGACACAACCTTCAAGAATCCAAAACACTCAACTATCTGGAACTTTTTGAGCACAGACACAATGCTGCAGTGGAAAACTCTAGCCAGGAAATTGTGCAGATAATTATTTAAAATATTGTATAAAATATCTTCAGGCATGTATGTCTGAATCATAAATACATGTGGCATTTAGAGAGGTCCTTTCTTCAAGAATTTCATTATGTATTTTGCAAATACTCCCCAATTCAAAGACATGAAGTCTAACACCTTGATCTCATACATTTGAGTATAAGGGAAAAATAATACCTTCTTCTCAAGTACTGCACTAAACCTGTGTGGAAGCATTTCTATATGAAACAGAACCAAAATGTAAAAACCCGAACCCTCAATATCAGGCTGTAGCATACACGTGTAGTGCCCAGATGTCTAACTGTGTTTACACACGACATATGCATGGAAGAACAATTAAACTGTGATTCCCTGTATGACACAGGCAACACTGAAACTCGTGAGTTCCTGTGAAAATCATTTGGGATAACATATTAGAAGTGCTTAGAACAGAGCCTAGCACACAGCAGTCAATAAGTATTCCCTGGCTTTATTATTATTATTATTACTTATTACATATTATGCAAATTCAGTGAACTAGCATCACATAAAACATCCCCCCCCCATTTACTTACGTGCATTATCCCCTTCCGGAGGTTGATAAAAAGAAAGGCCCAATGATACTATGGCTGCAATTTCTAGTATAATTAAAGTTACATCTTGTAATGCTTCCCATACTAATTGGAGAAAGGTTTTTGGCTTCTTAGGAGGTATAAAGTTCTTTCCAAACACTGTTTCTCTTCTTTCTAAATCTGCAGGGTTTCCACTTAAACCTGATAAAAAAGAAACAAATTTGGGTGAAGTCTGACAACTCTAAAGTGAAGATATCCACTCTTTCCAAGCATATTAATTTGTTACACTTTAGACTGATTCCCAGGCCCATAGCAGAACGCTTCCTTGTGCTCTTTAGTCTAAACACACAGGTAAGTCAATGAGAAACACACAGAGCTTTCCCTGAAGCATACATTTTAAGTAGCTAACCTAAGAGTGGATCACATGGGCTGGGATGAAGCTCAGTGGTAGAATGCCTGCAGCATGTGGAAGGGCTTGATCTCAGCACTGCAAAAACACCTTTTTAAAATAGCTTTAAAACTCCACTTTCACTTTCTTAGCTGCTTATTTTGACCATTCTTCTTATAGACACCAAGATACCAGAACCTTTTATGACAATATGATAAGTTTTTTTATGTTAAAAAAAAATATATATATATATATATATCTCACACACATACACACACACAGCAGATTTCCTTTAGGTACTGAATGGTGGCTAGCTAATTAGTAAAACACCTTTTCTACACTTATTTACTTTTTGAACTTTTTTTAAGCTTATTTATGAAAGGCAGCAACAAAGCAAACAGGAAAGACCCACATTACTAGAAGGTTTGTGTCTTCAGTGTCTCAGTTCATCTCAATGCCCAGGTAAGCAGAAAGCTGAAGAGATATCAGACTGCACCGCTAGAACAAGAGACGAACATACAAATCCAGTATCACGATTGACTTTACTGAATGTACCAAAAGAAGATTTGAGAATGTTCTTGCCAGATGTTAAAGATGGAGTCACCAGAACAAAAGCAGAGAAGACTACAGTAATAAAGATGACACTGGAAGTCTGGGTAATGGATTAGTCGCATCAGTTACCTCATGTTGAGGAGGAAGGAGGATGAGTTCTAGTCTGCCCTGTGCTGGTCTCCACTATCTAAGAAATGTGTATAAATATATTTTTTAAAACTCATACTGAATGGAAATTATCACTGATCATAAAATTAACATCTGATTACTTTAAATATTACCATTATAACTATAAAACATTAGGTCAAATCTATCTTTTAATAGCTACAGATAATGTTTTATGTTAACATTGAAAAGTCACAAAGTTAAAGAAAGCAAAATGAAAAGGAGGCAGCTCTAAGGATTTCTGATTTTTCTGAACATCATACATGGTTAGGTGGGCTATGGTGGGTCACGCCTTTAATCCAGGCACCTGGGAGACAGAGGCCGTGGAGCTCTGGGAGTTCCAGGACAGTCAGAGCTGTCACTCCCACAAAATCCATCATATATGGTTAAGCATATGCTTACAACCCTCAACAATGAGGTTGCTGGGGAATCAGAAGACCTAAGATACATGTCCCATACTGAAATCTTGTGTCACTTTGCCTCTCGGGGGCTGCAGGAGTGGGGGATGGGGGTAGGGGAAGCAGTACTCTTTGTTGGAATAACTTACAAGGTTGTTTTAAAGACAAGGAGAGGGCATTAAGTTTGCAAATCATAAATTACAGGGTAAAGTTTATTATGTAGAGGGAAGACAGGTTACAAATTTGAGTACTACTAAGTTTCAAGCCCATATGGAATAAAATCTTTAATTTTATAGATTTAATAATCTTAATATCATGAAGTGAAGTTTTGTGAATTGCCCAAATATGCTATTTACTAATCATTAACTACTTACAGACACTGTTCCACATGCTGGGGGGCCAGTTCTACACTCAGCAAGTGTAAATTACATTGGAGAGAGAGACAAACACAAAGTTAAAATTAAGAAATTTAAGATACCTATAATTCAGTAAAAATGGTTTTTAAACGGCCACCAGAATTCTCTCAGTGGACACTAGCCTTTCTAACAAACCACCATCTAAATGAGTCTGAATGATAAAGAGTCAACCATGAAAAGACCAGAACAAAGCATTTCCAGTAGCATAAATGCAAAGGCCAGACAGAGATCAAAGCAAGGTTTAGTTAGGAACCAGAAAGCAAACCATTGGGCTAAGGTTCAGTGATCAAGGAGGAAAGAAAGAATGGGTCAAAAAGAAAGAAAGGAAAAAAAAAAAAAAGACCCAGAGCCCAGATCACGGGGGAGTTCACGGAAGACCATTTATTACTCACTTTAACTGGGATGGAAACTACCTGAAGGTTTTAAGGCAGGGAAGTGATAACTAGTTTACAATTAGAAAGGTCATTTACACTGCCAGGTTGGAGTGCTCCAGGGAAAAGACCAGTGAGGCTGTGGTACAAAGAGACAAAAGTGCTTGATTCTGGGTTTTGGATGCAGAGGCTGAGAGGAGTAACTGGATCTGCCAGGTACTTGGACAGAGATCAGACAAGATGAGGAATGATTGGATGTGGGATGAAAGGGAGAATAACGAATGGTATCTAGAACTAACTTTTAACATTTCTTTTTTTCTTTTTGCAAATGAACTTGAATGGGGGTGGTTTAATGGAATGTTTGAAGCTAGTGGGTTTAACTGAAAAGCACAGCTAATGTGTGTGTGTGAATGTGAGTGGGTGGTGGTTATTTACCAAGTAGGGCAGGCCTGGGGAACTGCTGGGCTAGTTAAAGGGGAAGGAGGAATTAATAGTTCTGTTTTGTAGATGTGAGCAATCAAGTTGCTTTATCTAGTAAGCAGACTGCTAGTCCCAATCAGAATTTCTGTGCAAAGTTTGAAACAGAGGGTTAGCAACACACAAGGATTCTGGAGACACTGGCTCCATGAGAGCTTCCTGAAAGACAGAATAAGCAGGCAGGAAGGATAAAATGAAGTGTGCAGGGGAAGGATGCACACCAAGACATACCCCAGGGCAGAAGGAAGCTTGTCTGAGCAGTACTAAAGGTTTCCATAAGACAAAGGTTTAAAAGATGACGCTGATGTGATATGAGAAGGCACAGTAAGAAAAAGGCAGAAAACTATTTTCTTTCATCAGACAAAAGACAATGACCTTGATTAAGAACCTTCCTGTAGCAAAGTGTGGAAAACAGTTTGATTAGAAGGAATTGAACAGACAATAATAACGAGCAAGTAGAAACAGCAATATCCATTGCCCCCCCAATTATGATACAATGGAAAGAAATATACTGGAAAAATGACTTAAAGTGTGTATTATTTGTATTTTGTGTTTTCAAGAATGGGTGGTGATATTAAAGCAAGGTATCTACCAAAGAAAATGAGAAAAATTGAGTAGATGACAGAAATGACATAGGAAATCATGATTATTATTAAAGTAAGACCTGTGATGAGGAAAGAAGGGATGGAATTCAGGCTCAGGGTATCAGTCTGACAGAGATCAGGAAGATGTTGCCACTTCAAGAACAGTACAGTGGGTGATGAAACTTCTTGGCCTTAGTTTTTAAACTACAGAAGTAACAAAATATTAAAAATAACATCAATAAATACAATAAAAACTCTACTGAGTTTCATGAGCTTGGCTGATTAGAGCACAGTGGCAACCAGGTCAAGGTCAAGCACAGGATTGATCTTCTAATAGCACAGTTAGCTTCATAAAGAAAAAATACAACCACAACTCATACAAAGCAGCATCAAAATTATACACTTTACATGTCTGTATCCATCAAGGTAGGGAGTAAAAATAGCCTAAAATTGATCCTATGAACAGACAATATAGATCATCAGTACTATCTACCTGACACTTCAATGGAGAAACAGAACAAAATTCAATTATATTAAGCCACTTATATCAAGAGAATACGGCATCTCAACAGCTGATTCCACGTTTTGAAAGGGGGAAGTTTGTTGCAGTGTTTGAAGCAGGTGGGTTTAGCTGAAAATCAGGGCTAATACATTCCACATACAACCAGAAACTGTGACTATGGATGTATATATGTGTACATATACACATATGGGATTGTGGGACGGCTATAGGTGACTACCCTATGTGGGAGGAAGGATGTAGACTAAAAAGTATGTGGAAATGTGTTCCTTGTTTCAGCATTGAAAGAGGAGGTGATCCCTCACCTGCCCTCAAACTACAGATCCACCCATCTAAAGTCAGATTTAGTATTCTTTCCCATATGGTACATGCGCTAGGTATTATGGAAAGGTACTGAATATACAAGTTAAGTGTCAGGCAGGATGCCTTTCCTGGCTCTTGACCTTAACAAACTCAGTATGGTAGGAGTGACTAACAAGCAACCACCCAGACACACCCTGTATATGACATATTAGATGGCACTGGAGGACATACTACGGGAATCCATGTGGGGAAATGAATCCAAACAACATTTGCTGTTTCCAACATGAAGAATCAGAAACAGGAAAGGGGGATCAATTTAGCAAGGTCAGGTAGAGCAGATCACGAGGAGAGCTGCAGGTCTCCCCCCGAGAAGTCTAAGGGTCACTACAAAAGCAATGAGAAACTATTCGGCTTTACGAGAAAAAATGACAGTGTATGGAAGAGGCACCAATTATGACTCTAGCTGAATTTTCATATGACAAGACAGTGAATCCCACCCACAGGGTAAACTGACCACAACAGGGAAGGAGACCCTGTTTGTAAAGAGAAAGTTAGGAGTTATTATTTTCAAGACTTAAGACCACTTGAGAATGGGGGGAAATTTTCACATCAAAGTAGCAACATGGGTAACAGTTTCAGTAAAAAGGTTTTAAGAGTTTCAGTAAATTGAGATGTGGGGAAAGGATGAGGAATTGGGGCTTCCTGGGTTGGAACGGCTAACATGGGAACTACCAGCACCCAGGTGATGGCTCGTGAAGTCAAAGGTAACAGCAACGGATGGCTTTGTCCAAAGCATCAATCACCAGAAACCTGCAGAACAGTAACAGCCTAGGAAAGCACAGGAGGGGAGCAACAACGTCTAATAGCAAGAAGAACTCCAGGAATATGTTGGGGAGACGGAGAGGGAGTATTTGAAAGGAATTCAATCTACTGTTACCTAAAACTTAAACTTGGAAGCACAACAGACAACCAAGGACATTCTACTTCAGGCTCACGTTATGACTTTTAAAATTATATCCATGCTACTAGATGGAGAACTAGTGAAAACAACCTTTAAAAAAATCTAAGAAACAAAAACAAGTGACCAGCGCAGGCACTAAAATAACATGTAATTCTCTACTACAGTGTCAATACATTTCTAGGACAAGGTCATGCAGGATCACAGAACTCACAAGCATAAAACCATACATGCTAGCACACCGTGACCATACAAACACTAGCTGAACGTCTGTACTAATCTGTAAAGTCAAGCACAAACCATGGGACATCAGAGCATTTTTGTACTAGCCTGTTAAGTCAATAGTGATTTATCCCTAGGGGAAGGTCAGTTTTCTCAAAGAGTTAAAATATATCACAACACGGAGACACGGTCAAAGTCCGGCAGTACAAGCGACTTACTTCTAGGGAGTGCAAACATGAACTGTCACTTAAAACATGGAAACTAGGCAACCAGCGACAATGGCTATTGATCCTATCCTGCTTCCCAACGTATCCTCGTTTGTTGCTCTCTGTAGTCTTCTTTTGCCTCCTTTGTTGTTGTTGTTTTTTTTTTTTTAGCCCTTCTTTTACCTAATCTCGACAATCATTATTTAAAGAGTTCAGTTTTACTTGACTTCTCCCCTTTGTGGTGCAAGAAGCTATGCTTATTAACTCAGCATGTCTTTAATTTTGATGACTTCACTGTTCTACTACTGCGTTTAGTGTGGTATTACTGCATGACAAATACGACACTGGAGCTAGAGGCCTGCATTCCTGAATCTACAGCAGTCTACTCTGCCATCCAATGTAGAGCACAAGGCAGATAGCACAGGGTTAAAGAAGAGAAAACAGGGAAGCAACTGTGAAAACTAAAGGTCTGGGAAACGGGATTTAGAGTATGCACGAGAGAGTCAATACAGGAAAATACAATACAAGAGAAAAATACTTTAAAATAATCTTATGCGTTAGGATGTTAGATTGTTCTGACATAAAACTACACTCTGAGATACATGCTTGCTCTAAAAGAGGTAAAAGATATACAAATATGACATTTCAAGTCTCAACTTCATTTTACCCTGAACTTTTAATTTCAATCCCCTCAAGAATTATGATGGTTAATCAAAAAAGATGGAAAAAAACTCAGTAAGCTCAAACACGTTCTACTGGTCAACACATTAGTCATATTCTTGAGAACAGGTTCAAACAGTCCATTTTTAGAGGACACGTGGTAAGTTAGTGGGACAAATGAGGAAGTAACACAGCTGCCTGGATAGGAAGGACATCTTTTTAAAGGATGTAGTACTGAAACCACAGCCTGGATCACGAACACTTCCCTGAGGCCGTTCCCTCACCTCCCCACCACCAAGTACCAAGTGAAAGAGTACCTCTGCCATGAACTCTTGCTAATCATTGCTGCTTCCTTATACCTCAAAGCCAACAGGCCAAGGAATCCTGGTAAGAACCCTGAAAACTCAAGCCAAAATGAACCTTTCTTCCTTTCAGTGTTGACTACCTGAAATATTTTGTCATTGACAGCAAGTTGACACATGAAACCGTTTATCACGTAACTCCGAAAATAAGTTTGTTTTTCCACTGGGGGGAAAATCTACTAGGAAGAGAACAAAGGCTTCTCTTTCTCAGTAGCTCAGCTCTAGTATAAGTTATACGAACTGAACTCTGATAGAAAGCAGTACACTGTGTCAGCTAAAGCATCTATTCAGAATGAGACCACAGCTAAAGTGACCTTGGGCTTTTGACCTTTTTTGGGTGAGGGGTGGCATTCTTGCCTATAACCTAGGATAAAGGAGTTTTAAGGATAAAATTAATATTTATAAGAAAGCACAAATAACCAACTTAGCACAAAAATGTTACCTAATATAAGTACTATAGTTTCTGCTGTTGCTATTCTTAAGAAATGTCTTGAGTTGCTCCTGCAGACATTACACAATCTAACACAGGTATCTCCAGCACAACTGATTCTCTTTCCCATTCACGGCTCTCACGCTGAATGCAATAGCACTGTAAATTTAATTTAGTCACTATACATCTAACTTGGTCGATTGTCTCCCTTTTCTGAAAACAAAGTGCAGATCTTTGCTTTATTCATGCATATAAGCCCAGGGCCTAGAAAAGTACCTGCTACATAGCAGACACTTTCTAATACTATACTCATGCAAATTTATATTTCAGTAAAACTTCTGAGTGCTAGATGTAACTTGATTTTACACTTAGAATTTTCTTCTAACAACTGCCAATGCCTTTCCGTTTTAGGAAAATATACGGAATTTATGAACACATGAGGACACCAGGTCTGATCAAAGGCTGAGCCAGGAATGAGTCATAAACAAAGGGGCTGAAGGGACAGGGAGTATCTGTAGTTTTAGCAATACAACCCACGTCCTTTGAAGAAACATTTCAGTTCTCATTTTTCCTGAATACGAATTCTTCTAACAACAAGGTATTTATTTACTGTCTAGACACACCCTTGGCTACATAAGCCCCAGCTGCTTACTTTTAATCCTGACTCATTATGATTTGGCTGGTTCATCAGTGACACAATGTTAGACTTTGGAGTGAAATATTTCTAATAAGTGAAAGCTATGAAAAGTCCTTTGGCAATATTTCTATGAAGTTTGTGCCATTTTGGTTCTATTTCAGTAACTATAAACACAAATATAATGCTTACATTGAACTATTTTGTAATTTTTAAAAGGAACATTTCAAAATGACAAATTAATTTATATAGGATCATAAAGACCAGTTTGTACAAATTTTAGCAAACATTCATTCACAGTAGTATGAAGAACGTGATCAAGAACTCTGTAAAACTAGAAGAGGGAAAAAATGCGTAACTTCATTTAATGCCCCAAGGCACAAACAATAAAGATAAAATGTTAAGTGTTAATTCAGTTCCCTAGAGACCATTCATGGCTTCTATCATGATGTCAAGAGTAAATAATCTCTTCTTCCCAGAATTTAAGAGATGCAAAATTTCCAATTAATTCATTAACTAAATCAAAATCAATGTAAAATACTACTCAAAATTGATCAAAGAGAAATCCTCATGAAAATGATATGGCATAGGAGAGGAATATTCAGTAATTAGGAAATAAAGACTCTAATAAACAAAATACAAAAATATAGTTGGGGGAAGGGCAATCATGTATATTTGAAACTGAAGCTCAATATACAGCTTTTGCAGTGCTGGACATCCTACCTGAGGGTTTTGTGTACTAGGTAAGGGCTCTGCTACAGAGCTATATCCCTGCTCACTCAATATGCCTTTTATGAACAAATGCATGGGATGAAAGATCTTTAATATTTCTTATTAATTTGCTGATCATGAAGTATTCATCAGTTGGATTTTAGATGAAACATAGTACGTACATACAGGCAAAGAAAATTAATAAACCTACCAATGGTGAACAGCATATAAAAGTATAATCTAGTATGTCAAAACTTTAAGTCATCTCAAATCATGTTCGCATAATGAAAAGCTTCAAGTTTTATCATATTACAAAGGTATAACAGGAACTCTACAATTTATGACTTGAAAAGATAGAGAAAAATCTTGAGATAGCTTACAGAAAAAGACCTCAAGCAGTGAGATGACGTCTTCGGACAAGGGTGAGGATGGACAGAGGTCCGCAACACTATGGTACATCATGGAATTCAAAGAGCCTCCTTATCACAATTGGTAGTGAGCAATTCACATACAACTACACAAATATTTTCAAATATGGTATGATTTAAATTCTTGAATAATTTTGAAAATTACCTTCTGTTATTGCCATCAACACTAGTGCTATAAAAATGTTGGGAAAAACAGCCTTCATAATTTCTCTATTACTGCCTTGGGAATATATATCGATATTAATATTTTAAAATAAAAATTTCCAATCTTACTAAAATAAATTGTATTTATTTACTGAACATTTATCCTCATGTCTAGAGCTGCTCTTCAGGATGTCACATAATCACATACAGGCACCCCCAATACTTCTGCCTCCCCTTTCCATTAGCTTTTCTCTTAAGCATATGGTATCATCACACTACATATTTAATACTTGTTCACTTTCTTTTCTGAAATCTGGGAATGCTCTCTTCAAACTCTGTATCCATCATTTTATGAACAATAATATCAATATATAAAAACCCAACTTTGTCAGTTCATTTCAAATGACACAGTATAGCAAAGTCCATACTGTAAAACAAAGAACTCATGAAACTAAAGCCGTTTTAAACATAGGGAAATTCAACATAATTCGACCACATAAATGTTTACAAAGTGAAAAACTTAGAGTCACCTAATTTAAAACTGTGTGTTCAGGCCTCATCAACTGATTATTAAAAGTTTAGATTAAGTCCCATGAGCGAAAACAACTTTGACGGCTACTGGAAATGAGAACTATTTTAAGCTTCGGCAAAATGAAGGCTAGTGAGCAGTTTATTTCCACTGGATCCCCTGGGGGTACCACTTTCAGCTCCATCCTCTACATCTCCAGTGGAAGGGCAATCTTGTTATTGTAAACTGGAGCACTAATGCAGACAAAAGCACAAACTACTTCAGCTTGCCATTCTGCAACACGGAAGTTTAACATACTGTAGCAATCTGAGAACTCGTTACTAAAATCATGCAATGGCCAAGACGATATAAACAGTATGCTTCCATCTGAACTGAATAAACAGTATGCTTTAAACCAGTGAGTGACTAGTCAACACACAATAAAACCTACCTTCATTGGGAGATGTTTTCAACTTGGTGCAGATTCCATAGACATCTCCATAGCTTTCCTGTATTTTTCGTAATGCATCTGTGGACCTGAGCTCCATGAGAGCCCGCAGCTCTGGCAGCGTAATTCCAAAGTCTCCATCATGATTAGCTTCTTTCAAAGAGTTTTTCACACCACTATATGCAACTGAGTTGTTTGCCATGTCGCCCATTACAAGTATAATTTATTAGGAGGAAAATGTTTCCCAAAAGAATGAAATTTTCACTTGGTATATTTCCAAGATGAAAATCTTTTAAATATGAAAATCTTCCTTAAACCAAACACTCATTGTATGACTCTGTGAAGCAGTATCAGCAGCAACAATTCCCAGAGAAGTATCTTGACCACTGGCCCATGACTTGTTTCTTCCTCTCAATCCTGAGATGCACACATCTGTAAGAAGAAAATATTTAGGTGTTAATGGTTCATCCTCAAGTGTATTATGCATGTACATAAGCATATTTCTTGAATGCCACCAGGTAGCTAAGCAAAGTACAGCAGTTATAAATATTTGTGAACTGTGCCTTCGGATCACAGTGTAACTACTAGATTAAAAAGGGTGCATCTAGTCATTAGAACTCACAATTAAATGTAACGGCACAGCATGCCTGAATTCCGTGTCTGTGTATTACTATTATTAAGTTACTGTTGAAGTGCTTAGCGCCAAGTGGTTAGTTCCAACTTTGCTAGCTGCTTTAAATTCTTCCTTTCACTTAACTATTAAAACTAAATACTATCATTTCTTACTCTATCCAGAACAGTAAGGCTAGACAAATTGAGTTTTCAGCTAACTCAATGGCTGAAGTATCTTAAGTTGAATGGTTTCAAAGCCAGAGTTCCTTCTTACCCATGAGCTCAACCTAGCTTGCTAAGCCTTTTCACATGGAACAGCCTGTGACAGCACAAAAAGCCTAATAAACTGAATGTGTACAGTTTCCTGCGCTGCTCTTTACCACTCTGCCGCTCCATTGTCCCGTGCCTTTCTAAAGCTGTCTTCCACACGGTTCCCATCAGGTTACCACCTCAGGACTTCTGTCTACACCTTAATCCTTCTCGCTACTTCATTTTCTTACTTCTTTATCTACATGTTACTCTACTCTCAAGAGTCAAGAATTATGCCAGATCATGACAGATAATAAAAGAATGAGCATAATAATAAAACACAGAAAGGTTAAAAAATGAGATAGCTAATAAAAGCTAGAGAAACTATTTTCATTTCTTCACTGTACTTTCATCTTTTTAACTGACCTAAAAATGACCTGTCAATTCTTCATCTAAGATGCTAAAGATGGGATTTATAATATTGTACGGTAACTATACCATTTCATGATCACCATTATCCTAATTGCCTGGGTTTAAACTCTTATCTTTGAATCCATCCTTAATGTTTCATCCAGTGACTGAGTCTGGCTGAGCCTTCCTATGATGACATCTCCTTTATCCAAGCCCTTGGACATTTCCCCACCACATTGTTTTAAAGGCATCCACGGTCAAACTTCAGTTAACTTAATCAACTTTTCTGCCTCTGAAGCAACTAGCCCTCTAACTACTTAATAAAATGTCTGGCAGCTGGAAAAGACACTGGCTAGTACAGTTACTTTTCATCTATAAGACCGACAGATGGATGGATGTATACCATGGTTTGTGGTCCACATACTTCAGCCATCATCAAAGTCAACTGAAGGGCTGTTTATAACAACAAACGCTGGGACCTACACCTCAGGAGTGTTGTTAGGTGTAGCAGAAGTAAGCACGTACGCCACAGTTTCCAGACAATACAGGTGCTATCTACTCAGGGAGCATCCTGAGAACTACGGGAATGGAAGCTGCTTGAAAAAGGTAACCACGTCTACCAGTGAGCTGAGAAAAGCTTGTCTGCCTTGGGTTAAATCTGCAAGAACGCACAGTGGTGGATTCTGGAAGGCACTGCTATGGATTTTTGTTGTCATCTCGACAGCCTTTTCCAGAGAAAACCATTCCCCCATGCTCTCTCTGCTTCAGAAATATGAATGAGATCAAACAGACTAGCAATGAAACTTCCAGGATGCCTCTGTGTTCCCAGCTTGGATCTTCCTACTGAACTTAACTCTGAGAGAAACACAAAGAGTTGCTATGATCATCACCTAGTACTCCATGATCTGATAGGGAAGGCATGTAAGGCTGGATGATGGGCAGATGCATGCATGGATGGACGTGTGCTTTCAGTCCTGGTTTACACAAAGAGTTATGTCTGTCCTGTCCTTGGTTTTTTCAAAAATTTATCAAGAAACTGATTTTAGAAGTTGAGTTTTCTATTATCTTATAACCACACAGCTTTGGCTGAGTATATGATTGATGTTCAGTTCCACTATACTAAATAACAAGAACATCCTTCTGAAATGTTCTGAGAAAAGATGTTCAGAAGAAACACCAAAAAATGCAAGAGCCACTGTCCAAATTACATATCAGGCTGTTTTCTACTTCTAGGTTATCTATTACCCCCTTCTCTTTGCTTTTTTCCTTTATTCACTCATTCATCTATCTAACTAATCTATTTTTTAACCTCAAAGTAACAGCCATGTAAGAGACAAACTATTTTGGATTCAAATACAACAGAAACCAGATCACCTATTCTGATGCTCTTTGTTGTTCAGAGAATTTTCACCTTCCATTTTAAAGGTTTAAGGGGAAAAAAGTGAAGTGGAAGCTGAGACCTCAGAAAGGCGATGTCTTAAAGAAAGCACACAACTCGATGTAGAACACTCAGCCTATAAACTTTACGCCAGAGTAAACGGCATTTCTGATTAAGTCACTCTTGGCAGTCTGAGGTTTTCTAGAAAAAGACGGCTGTAGCCTGGCACAGGACAAAAGAGCTACAACCATCAAGTGGCGGGGCAGGGGGTAGGTACAAAAGGCGGCTGTGAAGTCCACCTGCTAAGCGAGGTTCAGGGACAGCACTGCCAGTGTACAACTTCAGTTCTTTTCAGACGTAAAGAACATGGGGAAAGTTGTATGAAAGTTATCTAACGTCAGCACAGGTAACCAGGTTTTAAAAATCATTTACACAAGCTAAAAAAAAAAATGTAGAAGAGGTAAGTAACTGATGGAATGAAATACGGAGTCATAGAAAACACTCCATGATGATTTTAATATATGCCAACAAAAGATTCCTGTAATAAAACAGGAAAAACATTTGCTGATACAACTAATAGTATTAGCAGCAAGACTTCCTTTTAATTGGGGTTCCCAAATCTTTAATGTTTCTAAATGTATGCTAGTGAGCTGAAGATGTGGAAATTGTGCTTATTCAATATATAAAAATTTAAAGCAGAATAATCAGCAAATGTTAAGTAACAGGATCAGGATCCAAGCAGACAGATGGGAATGAGGCTAAATTTAATTGGCACACATGTATGATCATCCTATATTTAATTCCAAAATGTAACTGTATAAATATGATGTATATGAATGTATCAGTATTTATGAAAGACAATGGCCCAGTTTATCAAAAGCTAAACGTGCTAAACTTGATATTAATCAGCATTATCATGTATAATAGGCATCAACCTTAATCACATAATCAGGGTATACTTCCTAACAATGTGCTAATATTAAGAAGGTCTACCTGCCATCCAGCGAAATGACTGTGCTCTAAACTTAGCCATTAGATAGGTCAAAGAACTCAAAAACAATTTGGAATTACAGCTTACCAAAGAACTCCATTTTCTCAGTCTCCTTTCCCTCTCAGCATATGTGGATATATGTATGTAAGGGTATCAGAATAAAATTAATTTTATTTCCTTTGTACCTTGACTGGCAGTTAGCAGAAGGGTCACCCACTTCTGTAACTGCCTTTTACCGTGGCTAGCATTTTATTGAGAGCTGCTTTGCAAACTAGAGAACCAACCTGCCACACCCAGTTTTCTTCAATTATATTCAAGTCAGAATGGACAATCTGAACCTAGTACTCTTAGACCAATGGTTCTCAACCTTCCTAAGGCTGCGACCCTTTACTACAGTTCCTCACACTGTGGTGACCCCCAACCATAAAATTACTCATAACTGTCATTTTGCTGTTATGAATCATAATGTAAATATCTGATATGCAGGATATCTGATATGTGACCCCCAAAGGGGTGACGATCCACAAGTTGAGAACCACTGACTTAGAGGGTCCCTGGAGAGGGTGGGTAGGTAAATACTCCACATTAGACTGGATCGACTGCCCACTCCACTGAGAACCTACCAAAGGGAAAGACATATACTAGGCTACCGTGTCTCAGAAAGACACTGTACTCCTCTACACTACTTCAGAGCTACTTCTGTAGAAGTGCAAAAGACACCTTTCACTGGATTCCTACCCTGAAATCCTGAACCCTTTCAGTAACTGAAATAGTCTTTTAAGAAGTGGTAATGACTTACTGTCAACTCTCAGGCATTACTGTAACAGTGGAAAGAGTATGCGGTCTGATACTATAGTTTCGGAGAGCACATATTTTAAAATCACGAGTGGGAGCTTCTTTTACAAATAACAGTGGGCCGGAGAGATGGCTCAGGTGTTAAAGTCTAGGCTCACAACCAAAAGTTACAGTGTATTCAAATTATCTCATTAAATCAATTAGGAAACCCAAGGGAGACTCAAATTTAATTTTACTCAGAACTCCTGTTTTATACGTTCCAAAGGACTTAAAGAAACATACTCACAACCTAGTCAGATGAGTTAATTCCTATTAATGTACACACACACACACACACACACTCACCAAGGATGATCTCATTTATACAGAACTGATACAGCAGAAAGCAATCACTGTTCACAATGACTGATCTATAAACCTCAAAAAGATTTGTGAATACTATTTTTACTCTTCTCAGTAACTTTTTCTCTTCTAGAAGACTACTCCAGGCAGAGACTGAGTACTGTAAAAGTAGCTGCAGCTGTGCCAAGCTGCAAGCCCCAGCATGAAGGCTTCAGCAAATGTCTTAGGGTGGGGGTAGATTATTAGAAGACAGGAGGACCTAGCGTGTCACTTGTCACAGCTGTTTACACACAGCTGTAGCAATCTGAGTTCTCTCTAGTCTTTCCCACTGAACTGTGTGTGACCTCAGGATAGAATCTGTCCTACTGATTTTTAACTCTCATCTGTATCTGTGATATACTGAAGGTTCAATGTTTATTGACTAGAAACGCTCTCAGTTTATGAAATGAGCTATAACCTATGAAAAAGCAGCTCTGCAACAAAGTAATGACAATTCAAATAAAACAAAACAGAACCTAACAACATGTTTAAAATACACGCTAAGTGCATTATGATTTCTGAGAAAGCACTTGAGTTTTCAAACCATCTTGGTATTAAAGATGTACCATTTTTATTTCCTTTTGAATCTTTTTAGACAACAGAAATTACAAAGTA